TAATGGTTGTTAGAAACACTAATTTCTCCATTTTCATTCAGTTGTCCTCGTCTGTGGCTGACAGACTGTTTTGTTTACGTGCGTCATCTGACGGCACTGAGGTGTTGCCAAACCTCAGTCAACAGTCATCACTTTGTAATAACCCAGTGAACACTAAAACATAGTTTTTCCTTTTGTCATAACCTGTAAGATGCTTTTATCCAGTTGTGAAGAAACAGTTTAACCCTTAAATGACAGGTAACAAGTGTTGTAGCAGCTGCTAAGTAATAATTACATTGAATGAGCATTCAAAACTCTTGGATGTTTAACAGGTCTTTTTTTGTTTTATCCCTAAAAGCTTACTGGTTGAAATCGCTGCTCTTTTCTCATGACGTGTTCGGGTACATGCAGTGTTTTGAGTGACTGTCAGGCATATGAAGGTACAGAGCAGCCAGTTGTTGTGCAGTCTTTAAAGATTATACCCATCACTACAAGTTTTCATTAAATTCATACTCATACGGAGCTTTGAGGCATCTTATTCAGAATGTGATACTCATATTGCTGTCATGGTGGTGTGTAACCATTTCATTTTGACCCCATCTAGTACTGTGTTTTATGAGGTCTGTGAGCCAGTTATTAGCACATAAAAGTTGAAACTGATTTTAATGTCTTCATTGTACAATATGACCTTGAGCAATACCTATTCAGCAGACAAAATGTATTTTGAAATGAGCAATGATCAAAGTGCATGAGTGCTCTTGTGTTTCAGTGGAGCAGATGGAGTACAAACCTGGATTTTAATGTCTTGCTAAATGTGGTTTCATTTTCACCCAGTCTGCTTATTTCCTTTTTTTAAGCGAATAAAGTCATTGAAAATTATTGGTGATTGGTTTTCTGTTGATTAACTATATGATTGATCAACTAATTATTTCATCATTAAATATCCAGCTCTGTGGCGAGATCTGTACGTTATAATATTTTTGACAGGCTGCTTGGTAAGGTTATACAGGAGTGGCCTTGTCCTTTACTGCCGCCATCTTGATTAGTCACTGTGCCATAAAAGTCAGATAGCAAGGTAAAGACTGAAACGCATGGCCACATCATGGTTGGCAGGCTTTGGCTTTCCACTGGTCAAGTACCAGTTTAGCAGACACTGCATCTTGAACTCCCATTCCTGTTGTAATGATAAAAAAGGTTACTGTGAAAATATAGCTGAAAACTGGATTCTTAATGTACTGACTTGGAAAAGCAAAGTACTTTCAACATGCCATGGACCTTTAGGTTCACATCAAGTAGGGCTTACCAAGGGATTTGAACACAGTCTTTTTCTCTCTGTGAGCAGGTTTAGTTCCGTTAATAACATCTCCAAGCTCTGCAAACACTTCTGCCTGAAACCAGAAGATCCACAGTCATATTTTTCACACATATTCCGCAGAGTCAATAACTGTTCAAAGGCATAGTGACACACTGACCCCAGAAAGGATGACGTCACCAGACTCGCTCATTGCTCCCTCCCTGCTGTCAACATATACCACCGCCTCCTTCATCAACCCGTCGTCCAGCTCCCGCCAGTTTGGCCTGCAAGCACCCACTGCTGCTCGGCGACAGGAGGTAAACACAATGTGAAATCATTTACAGAGGTCCAAGATCCACACAAGAACGATCTTGAGTTTTAAACATTTAAATGTTTGTATCTAAAACTCTCAATTTCCTCTTTAGTTTTGTGTGTGTGTGTGTGTGTGTGTTATTTCTTCTCACCTGCCACATGGGCTCCTGGTTTGACCCAGCGACCAAACAGCACTGGCTCTGTACTTCTCGTTACTGTCACTATGACATCTGCTCCCCTCACGGCCTCCTCCGCTGAGACGCATGCTGTTACCGGACTGCTGACAGAGTGCCTGAACCGCGCCACTCCCTCTCTTGTACGGCTCCACACACGCACCTATGTTGAAGATCCAGGAGCGGCACAACGGTTTATAAAAGCAATCACAAAACTAATTTCAACAGTGAACACTAGGAAAGTCCAGATTTAGGGCAGGATTATGAGCATGATAACTCTGGTGGTTTCACTTGATTTAATTGGAGGTTCAAACCTGTTTTTAAATTTCCTTTGCTCACATCTAACCTTTAACATGCTTAAGCCTTTATGCCTAGTTGACTGCCATATTACTGCATGGATGAGACATTTGTTTGTTATACCAAGAGCTCAACATTTTGAAGTTCTATTTACCTGTTATCTGCACAGCACACAGACAACTATGTCTCATTCTTTGCATTCAGTAACAATCTTGATCTCTTTGGATCTTAATTATTTATTATATTGGAAAATAGTAAGACATGAATAAGCATGCATTAAACATGTCTAGAATTGACAGAATTCTGTTCAGACTCTCTCTTCATACATTGATGAGACATTTCTGCACCTCTTTAAATGAAAACATTTCAGTGAAGACCCTGTAATGACTGAGGGCCTGTTTGCCGGTCCCCAGGATGGCCAGCACCTCAGCTTCAGGACGCATCAGCAGCTGCATAACAAAAACACACCAGGACAAACCCAAGGGTGTCAGAGTTAGAACATCAATCCAAGATTACAGAGCAGGTACCAGAAAAAAGATGGTTTTTAAAAAAGGCAGTGTGCTGTACCTTAGCAGAGATTGCAGAGACAGCTGCTGTCCTCATGTCTGTGATGACCTCTCCGCCTATAACCTGCCAGTTGGAAACATTTCATGACCGGTCAGAGGGTGAACTTGTTAAAACTGGTGCCGAGCCAGATCAACATTTAGATTTGTTTTGCAGTCACTTGCTGGTACTGAACCCAACCTGCTGTGCTGTTTTGTGTCAGAACCATTCAAGTGTGTATCAGTTTTACTTACAGCCTTGACATTCCCATACTCTGGATCCAGCAGCACCACTGTGGCTTGAACAGCTGGCAAGGTGGAACCATCCTCCCTTTTGTAGAAACACACTAACTTTGTGCACAGGACTCCATCATTCTCCATGTATGCAGGCATCAGTGCCAAGAACCTATAAAAGTCAGGGTAAGTCAGCAAAGACTACCACCGGACTGTCAATGTTTCACTTAACAGAACTACAACGGGCGTTACCCATTCTGTTTTTGCAGTGGCACGATGTTGCGCACAGGCTGGATCACCTCAGCGCTGTCTCGTCTGGAGAATTTTCCCAAGGCTTCCTCCAGACGAGGGACCAGCTCTCTGTAGTGCAACAGGCGCTCGACCTCATGCTCCCATATGATAACAGGAGGTGCAGCCATGGTTTCTTGCCACTCTGATACGTAACCGGCGCGTATTTGGTCCAAAGTTCAAGCAGCTGTCACTGCAGAGCCAGGACGGTTCTTTAAACATCCTGCTAGAGGAGGAGCGCAGACACGTCAGAGGGTCACAGAGGTCAATCCATCCATCCAAACGTATTACTTAATCATTCGAAGGGTCGCGGGGGGTCTGCAGCCACTCCCAGCCGACACTGGGTGAGTGGTACATCCTGGAATAGATAGGGCATCTTAAAGTCGTTATTTAACATCTCCTGCATGTATTTGGACTGTGGCAGGAAACCGGATGAGCACCAGAGAAAGCCTACGTAGGCACATGGAAACATGTAAACTCCCGTTCACACTCTAAAACTTATTTCCCTTCTTCTTGAGTGTTAATGGCTGCCTACAGGCCAACGTAAAAGGTGCATGCCGCCACCTACTGCACCAGAGTCTGTAATACTTTATGAGTTAGCCTTATATTCTATTTCTCAACCTAGTTATTTCTAAATATTTAATCAAATCTCTTTGCATCTGATGTTGTTTTGCCCTTTCTCCAATATACCTTTAATGCTCAACTCTCTGCTCATTTCTAATACCCTACCTTTCAATATTTCTTTCTACATTAATCGTCCTATATTCTAATAATACATGTTCAACTGTTTCCTCACATATACAATACTCACATTCACCAAATTCCACCCTACCAATAATATGTAATGTATTTTTTAGTCTTGTATGCCCTAACGTAAGTCTAGATCATATAATGTCATATTTCCTATAACTATCTCCATACAACTTAACTTTATTGGATTTTTGAATATTGTAATAGTGTCTCCCTTTATTGTCTCTATCCCATATCCTGCCAGGATTTCATTACAGCACTACTACAAATCACTGACTCTTCTGTTTTCCCAGTAGAATTTTGTAAGATATCCTGGAAACGTCTAGCTGCTGACAACGGTGCAGCTGAAAATAATTTCCAGCCCCCTTAGCAAAATAATTAAACGTGTGCACTATTTACCAAAAAGAAACATTGGATCAACATTTAATGGCAAGTAAAAGTTCTACAAATTGCTATAGCAGAACTTTTTTCTTCTGGTCTGCATCATCAATCATCTGACGACTCCCCAGATTTATTTGTAACCTTCCGGAACGGGGTCTGACCCATTCATTGGCGAGGCTCACTACAATATATTACTGTTTATGATAGTTAATAGTTCCACCTCAGGGGATATTTACCAGCATAAAAAATACTTCTATATATTTGAAGTGCTTTTTTGCTGTTAATACCTATGTAATTTTGAACCTGCCAGAACTTTAGGTTACACTGTAGGCTGTTTGCTAAAGGATCTCAGTACTAGTAATTCCACCACTGATGCAGGCCTACCGCATAGATATTTTAACTAATAATAAAGACATTAAAGCCTTGCACAGTGATTGCATGGTCCCACAGAAAGCCTTTTATCCAGGTCAAACCAGAACTACTGTTTCAATTTGTATTCAAACCCAATATATATAGAAACATTGCCAACACAGTCTTAAATACCCTTTCAAAATAAATTTGACATTTTCAGTACTTGTTAATTTTTCAGATGCATGCTGCTGTCTTTGTTTTGTTATATGACAATGTGAATATGAAATTCTACAAAATAATAGGTCAATGGAAAAATTACAAATTGCTCTGGTCACTTCTCAAATTGTTCAACGTAAACTACACCACCGGAATGAAAAGGAGAATAATAATAAGCAAAAGGACAAAACACCAGATTTAAAAAAAAATGTTTTCATTTTGGACCAGGTAATGCCATTGTACACTGATAACACCAAAGTGAAGTCATAATCCTAGAAAATAAAAGTTATAATTAATTTCCATGCATAACAACAGTTTTTTATTTAATCCAACACAAAACGGGATTCTTTTTTCAATCTGTTCAAAGATACTTTGTCACAGCAGTGCAACAATTATCACACGAGAAGTCTCTCAATAGCCATCTGAACAGACTGAATTTGCGGTTTGAGCTGAGACCCCTCCTTTATGGTGACAGAGGTAGCAATGACGGGGCGCGACACCCCACAGGCCCGTCCTAGGGCCTGCTTAGAGCGGACAAACACATACGGGACATTCTTGTCCTCACAGAGCAGTGGCAGGTGGAGGATGATCTCTAGTGGTTCAGCATCAGCAGCCATTACAATAAACTCAGCAATGCCTCTGTTCAAGGTTTTTGTGGCTAGGGAAGAAGATGATCATTGTTAGTACAGTGTATTAATATCACATAATTTTAATAATCCTTTTGGTAGCATAGTAGTTTTAGATCTCATTCTGAGATACATCATCACTAGAGATTCTGGTCACTGAATAGAAAGAAACAATAGCAGCTGTGTAACAATTTGAGAATCTCTGCAACAGCACCGATTTACAAAAAATGAAATATTTGGACTTTTAGACTACTGGTCAAATAATTTGTATTGCTTAACAGATAACATTATGATTCAAAACCAACTTGATAATCAATAAACAAATCGATTAGTTGCAAGATCACAAACCTGTAGTTTTTGTAGCTGTTTTAACCTTAAGCGACACCACTGACTTTTCTGATGCTACATTATCTCTGATCAGATTACCAGCCTGTATGTGAACCCATTAAATGGTCACACTTTAAGCCAAATATTTATGCTGAGGATACATTTGGTCACCTTCATTAGCCCCCTTCCTCAGCTGCTTGTAGTTTGAAGCTTGTTGCACCAGGTCCAGGATGGTTTTGGTCAGCGTGGCGTCAGCCAGCGGGTAGGCTTTTGGGTTCACTTGAGCTTCACTCTGGTTATGTAAGTACAATACAAACCACATTAGCCTCGTGAAAACAGCATTATGAACAAGCACGAGGATGTGATGAGGTTCAGATTGGTTCGCTCTGCGGTCCAGATAAATCGGTTTGCTAACAGTTAGCTAGTCTTTTAGCGTAACGCTAGAACAACACTTACCATTTTGAATTGATTTTCTTTTATTCCGGCCCTCTCGGCGAAATGCTTCACGGAGGACTATTTCTTTCACTCGGCTTGGAAAGGAAAACAAGACTAGAGAGATGTTTCTTGTGCTGTATCTTTGTAGTGCTACGAAACTAATGAGTTTTCTTACAAACGCTTACCACACGTGTAGGCCAACGCACATGCGCACTGAAACAGGAAATGCTTTCTTTGTTTTGCTGTTATGGATATATTAACTGCTCATTTTAATACATTCAGGGTTATTATCATGACATCCATGGGTATTATGTATACTCTGATACATTCATATAATACATTCATGGTACTCTAAACTTCATAGTATGTATAGCTAATTTATTATGAGAACTCTTTAGTTGAAATGCTAACTGTAATTGATAATATTCTAACAATATCATAGTATAATGCCAAAACAAATGTAGCAGGTTCAGTTTGCCCTATGAAAGAAACTACTGTACTGTACATTTGTTACTGTACATTTAATACATTTAATACTGTACATTTGTTTATGGCTGTGTTATGTCCGTAGCACCAGGGGGCGCACTCTCGTTGGCTCGGGGGTTCTTTTGCGCGCTGGGAATTCTGGGTAGGGCACATTCTATTCGGCCATATTGCTTCATCGTCCTCACTGAAGGAGAGAGGGGAGATGAAGGGGTTTCGGGCAATTAGTCGGCTATCGGTAAGGATTCATCTAATTTATCATAAGCATCTATATGTCGAAACGGTTGTACGTGCAACAGCTGTCCCGTTTTACTGTTATAATGGTTTCCCCACCGAGTTCAGGGTCGTGGCCGCACAATCGGACGAAGAGCAAAGAAGAAAGCAGTTAGACTCCTGACACTACTCTGTCCTTTCCCTGTAACCCCGAAATAATTTGCTATTGTAATGGGTGCCATTTCTTTAAGGTGTGATGATGGTATTCAAGTGCATCACAGAATCTTCTCCTTCCACTGGTCCTGTATCTCCGAATGACACCATAGTAGGACAATGTTGTTTCTCATCTTGCCCTTCAAACCGAAACAAAAGAATCAGACCCCTCTTTCAGAAAGACATTGTCGCTGTCCCATACGTAATACATTAATGGAGCAAGTGTGTCCCAAGTATTAGTGGGCAGACGTTTGGCAATTTGCTTTAAGATATCTGATTGCAAACAAACCTAGAGATGTTTTTCAAACTCCTCTATCGACCTTAATCAGCGAAGCATTGCTTACAAAAATTAAGGGAAATCATTGATGTAAGTTGTTTCTTCTGTCGAGTTGATAATGTAACAGCCTTACAGTTAGTTTGGACCTGTCCTTACTCTGTTGCATGTTGGAAAAAATCTATCCACTAATTCCATTGTTACATGTCTTCTGTTTTCACACTGTGTTACACTTATTATATCATAAACCTCTTTATCATTCCTAGTAAAATTTCATATTCACAAATCCAAAGTTGGCAAAAGAAAACCTTTTATTTACAAATTTCACAAGTGAAATGCAACAATACATACAAACTGTTCAGCACTCTGCAAACCCTATGGCCTTAAAGATAATTACTTCATTCAAGTTATATGATTTTGTAAACTGCTCAACCCTTTTTTCTTATGTGGTTCACTCCTGGCATATGTCTGTTATTGATTACTATTTTTGAATGTTACATTTGACTGTTATATTGATTATTTCTTGCAATAAAAACGCTGCTTAAGCAGCACTAAACCTACTGAAAAAGTTAACATAACCCTATTAAAGGTTGAGTCTTTGTACACTTTAAGTACTATTAAACCCAACTCATACAAGTCAGGATCTACAAAACTACCCCAAGTTCCTTGGCAGTGTGAACTAACTAGCTTCTAACGTTAGTTTGTACAGAGTTGATTTGGTATCCCTACCACTGCATTAGGTGGATGTGTGCAGCTCCCCTACTATTCATTACTATATTAAGAGCGTTACCTGTAATAGTTGATGTTATTAACATTTTACATGTTTTGCATTATACAATGTTGTGGTTATCCCTGAGAAAAAAATTTGGCTTCTATTGTAACAAAACCAACTTTGTGTGCTGAAAAATCATATCTCAACATCCAGAGCACTGACATTACATTTTAAATAACATATTTAGAGAAAAAAATGTGTTGAAGTGTTACCATTTCCTGAGTTTGTTGACATGATTACATGTAGATTTGGACTTATTTAATATTTGCTGTCAGAGGTGATGATGTTCTCGGGAATCAATGTGACTGCCAATGTTTTCCCATAGTCTCAGTTTTTTTTTTTCCCCTCTTCAGTCAAGGCTTTACGCGGCCCAGACTGCCCATAAAGTGGAGTCCACTGGGACTGGTGAACATGTTAAGTTTCAGCCACAAGATGTACAGGTCAGTAGTGGTTAACTTGTCTTTGTTCACAACAGAGATGATTATATGGGGCTGCTAGAACAGGCCAGTCTCTTACGGAGCCCCTGGCAGACCTCAGGCTCTCTACAGGGGTTACCTGCTCCTACAAGGATGTGCATGTATGCTGAGGAGTGGAGGATGGTTGGCTGGGTGCGGACTGTGATTTTGGGGTCTGAGGACTAAGATATCTGTTGGATGACTGTTATAAGTTTAAATTGAGGCTAATACTGAGCAGGATTTTGTGTTTTGGCTTTTAGATTTTAAGTGAAAATCTATATTTCACTGAAATTATTCAACTAAAGTACATGTTTGTATGTGTTCTCCTGTCCAGGTGACCAGACTGCCCAGTGGACTGGTGATTGCCTCACTGGAGAACTATTCCCCAGCCTCCAAGATTGGAGTGTTTGTTAAGGCTGGCTGTCGTTATGAGACCCATGAAAATCTGGGGGTCACCCACCTCCTCCGGCTGGCCTCCAACCTGGTAAGATACCTCAGACATCTGTTCGAAGTAGTACTAGGGCCAGCTTGATGTTGACTTGCATTTGTACCATTACAGACAACCAAAGGAGCTTCAGCTTTTAAGATATGTCGTGGTATAGAGGCAGTGGGAGGAAGCTTGAGGTTAGTAACCTCCCAAACATGTTTAACTGGAAAAAGATGTTTTTATCACCGCATACGTATCTTCCATTATCAGTATTCATACCTGGATATATTTCTCTGCAGTGTGACTTCATCCAGAGAGAACATGATCTACACCATTGACTGCTTGAGAGATGACATGTGAGTCTTTGCATAAAACTGATGTTATAATTAATACTAAATAAATCTGAAAATAACAGTGTTTGTAGCAGAAGGAGAAGACCTGTGTGAATATGCACTCCTAATATGGAACGCTGGCTATAAAACATTTGTAGTTTGTTTCTTCATAAAGAGCTGTGGTTGTGTTTGGAACAAAGGAGTGGTAATGGTCAGTGGATAAGTAGATTATGCTGCATGAGTGGTTGTGTTTTTCAGAATGATTGCATTATCTCATATTACTAACATGGTTTTCTCTTATATTGGCCTGCAGTGACACAGTGATGGAGTATTTGATCAATGTGACAACCGCCCCAGAATTCAGGCCATGGGAGGTGAAGGAGCTTACACCTAGAGTCAAGGTTGATAAGGCCCGGGCTGCACAGAGCGCTCAGATAGGTGGATCATTCATTCATTTATTTCTGTCATTCATTTTATCCATTGAAAAATCTGTTGTGACACGTAGTATTCATAACAGGAGAGGTTCTGGGTACTTCCTGAAGCCACTGTAAATAATCCCATTGGTTGATCATGGAACTAATTGGGGGGCGACCTAGATTCAGTGGGTAGAGCAATCGTCTCCCAACCAGAAGGTTGGAGGTTCAAATCTCAGTGCTGGCAGTCCATGTGTCGAAGTGTTCTTGGGCAAGACACTGAACCCCCCCGTTGCCCCCGATGGTTAGAACCATCGGTTGAAGTGGCGCTGCAGATGGCTGCCATCAGTTCTGTACCGGAAACAAATTCCTTGTGTGTAAAATACTTGGCCAATAAGGGTGGTTATCCTTATCCTTATAATTACTTTGTATTCCATCTTGCATGTCACAGACTTTAAACTGTATAATGGCCTAAAATCCCACTTTGATGTTTCTTTACACCATGAGTAAACTGGCATGGTATATTGTCTGAATTAAAGCTGTATTTCTCATTTCTGGCTAAAAACAACAGCTAGAATGATGAAGTATCTATTTGACAAAATTGATTTATCAAATTTTTGCTGGTACGCAGTGAAAATCTTAGTAATATTCTGGGAATGGGAATGCTAAACTATTATTTACTCAACCCTGATCTCACATCCTGTCCTCCAAGTCACAAAAATAAATGGCACAAGACAGGTCCACCAGACCAAATGACTATTTCCTGGGAGTCTCCACCACACAGATATAGTAATGTTTTAAGAATTAAGAAGACCTTACAAGTTTTAGCTTTAACATCAGAGTGTTGTAGTTCATGATTATGCCTTTCTCTCTTTTCCAGCTGTTGTTGAAAGTCTGCATCAAGTGGCCTACAAGAATGCCCTCTGTAACTCCCTGTACTGCCCAGACTATATGGTTGGCAACTTCAACTCTGAACACGTGGGTATTTTTACAAGGTATATTAAGACTGGTGGTGTTAATGTACCAATTTTAATGTGATATTTGTGTTTTTCTCCAGCTGCACCAGTTTGTCCAGAATAATTTCACAAGTGCAAGAATGGCCCTTGTTGGACTTGGTAAGGGTCATTATACCTTTTCTATTGATAACCCTATAATAATACTAGCACAGTGCTGAGCTGATGTGGCTGAGGACATATCTGATGTTATTCTAAATGACTTAAAGATGTTTGTCTTTTTTCCAGGTGTTGACCACGCTGTGCTGAAGCAAGTGGGAGAGCAGTTCCTCAACATCCGCAGCGGAGCAGGCACCACAGGAGCCAAAGCTCAGTATTGTGGAGGTGAGCTTAACCTTGAGGTTTTACTACAGCTTTACCACTTCCAGCCTGCCCTGTATCCCTACCTGTCCTGTCCCCCTTCTGCCCCTCTCCAGGTGAGATTCGTCTGCAGAACGCCGATAGTTTGGTCCACTCAGCGGTGGTGAGCCAGTCAGCAGCAGCAGGCACCAGTGAGGCTCTGGCCTTCAGTGTGCTGCAGCATTTACTGGGAGCTGGTCCACATGTCAAGAGGGGCTCCAACGCCTCCAGTAAAATAGTCCAGGGTGTTGCCAAGGCAACTACTGACCCATTTGATGTGAGTGGTTATCAGTTTGCAATATAATCTTGTAAATATATTATAATATATTCAAAATCATAATTACAACACATGTAAAGACATTTTTCATAATATTCAGGTCAGTGCTTTCAATGCAAGCTACTCTGACTCGGGTCTGTTTGGGATCTATACAATTTCCCAAGCTGCAGCTGCTGGTAATGTGAGTATCCCATACTCATAATGGTACAAACCTTTTAACAAGAGCAGTAAAAGGTCTTAATGTGACAGACCTCTACCCTCTTCCCTCTCTCTCAAGGTGATTAAGGCTGCTCTTGCCCAGGTGAAGGCTGTTGCTGATGGTGGAGTCACGGCTGTTGACCTCACTCGGGCCAAGTAAGACATGCTAACGGACAGAGACACTACTTGACACAGTGCCCCTCCATAACAGAGACTGAATGTTCAAATCAGTCAGAAAACACATTTTATATTTCAGCTGACAAAAAAAGCATCAAAATGGGGTTAATGCTAAAGAAAGGATGTGGCTGAAACATGGTCATGGTACCACTGCTGGTTGTTATCTCCATAACATGACTGAAAATGTGAGTAAGCATGACGTGTGTAGTCCGTAAGCAGTAAAGTATACAGTTAAAGGAATAGTTTGACACTTGATCAATACAATTTCTGAATCTGTACAGTGAACGTGTAGCCAGAACCAGCAGTTGGTTAGCTTAGCTTAGCATAAAGACTGGAAACAGCAGCTGTGGTTCTGTCCACAGAAAAGACAAAAAAAGGATTCTCAATATGATCAAATTGACTTGCCTTCTCTCCTCATACTTGACACTCAGAGGAAAATAATACATCATGCTAAATGTTTTCCTCTCCTTGTTTTTTGGCATATTCTTGCCTGCAGGGCCCAGCTAAAGGGGCAGTTCCTGATGTCTCTGGAGACTTCGGAGAGTTTGCTGGAGGCTATGGGCACTCAGGCTCTGGCTGAGGGGTCCTACCACTCCCTTGAGGAAGTCTCCAAAAGCATTGACAACATCTCCCTGACTGATGTCGCCAATGTAAGATATTTGATTCCTCTCAGTGTACAACTCTGCTCTCTCCTTAAACATGCTTACAATGCATGTTTAAGGAGAGAGCAGAGTTGTACATTATTGAATTTACTTTAGTCAGATATGCATTTTTAATGTGCTGTGTGAAAATGTGCTTTGTAGTTAATGGCATCTATATTGTCTTGCTGTTTATTTCTAGGCTGCCAAGAAATTTGTGTCTGGGAAGAAGAGCATGGCATCTAATGGCAACCTCAAAACAACACCCTTTGTGGATGAAATCTAAAGCCCTCCTGGTCACCCTCTACCAGACCTAACTCTCATGGCAAAGCAGAATTTGTTTCCTCTAGAGTTTGACAAAAACAACTTATCTTTTGCAGTGCTGTTCTGAGAGATGTCAGAACACCATTGCGTAGTTCTGGATGTTGTTATCAGTTTGTGTTCAGGTGGTGATGCTCTGGTGCATCACAGTGTTGTGCCCTGCCCATTTGTTCACATTGACTGTATAGCTAATGTAAAATAATGAATAAATTCTATCTACCTTACAGAGCTTTAAGTGTTTGTATTTTGGTTACAATTGAATATTTAGTTTTTTCTTTTGATTGTTTTTTTTTTTACTTGCTTGGCTGAATCTGAGAGAATGAACTCATCATGGATAAGAAGTCTAAAAACCACTGACAGTTTAAATAATTTGATATGCGGTAACGAAGCAAACTCAATCTGCTCATGAGAATTGTGTAATTCATCTGAAAGCTCCAGAGAAAGTGAGTGGACCAGAGTTTTAGCTGTCAGAATACAAAAGCTGTAGATCTTGAATGTAACACAGCGGGGGTGTAATCTTAATTGCAGAGTGCCCACAGGTGTTCTGGTGACTCTCTTAAATTACTGCTTGAATAATTTATGGCGATGCCAAAGGTGAGAGGAACATCGCCTGATTACGGATTTTCTCGCGAGAGCTGACTTCCACAGACACTGAGACGCGAAGTGACGGGATTCTAGTTTCCATTACGAGAGGACAGCGTCGTCAGGAATGTTTTTAAAGCGCTTAAGTGACGGAGTTTCACCTCTTATCGTGGAGACCCGAAGCTCCATGAATGCGCTTTGATGTGAGCATGGGCGGCGTTTTCCGTGTGTGTCCGTCCACAGGAAAGAAGGGGGCTCCGTGCGGACTCGGGAAATAAGTCGGCTGTATGCGTGAACCTATTTGACTGGTGGAGAATTAATTAGTCACCAAAGTATAAGCTACACAGCCGATTTCAGTGGCTTCTCAACTCGCCTTGTGCAACTATCCCCGGGATGTGGTGGAGCATCTGGAGTTGAGGTGATCCATGAACCCGGGAAGCGGTCCCGTCCTTCTCCGCATGGGCTGGAGGAGATCCAGCAGGTCAAAGCAGGAACAGCTGTTGGGGCATCAATAAAAGGGAATATTCTGAGGAGACGCCAATGTCTACCCGCCTGGGATCAAGCATGACGTGGGAACAAACCGTGGACCAAAGAGACCCCGTCACCATCACCGCAAACCTTGCCAGGAGGATGGGGCATGCGATGAGGGCTTAAGGTTACTGGCTTCTAAATGTCCCGTCTCCCTTTAACGACAGGTGAGATAGAGGCCCGAAGACACCCGAAATGGATAAACTCACTGTGATATCAGGATGTCTCTTCCTTGCTGCGGACATCTTCGCCATCGCCAGCATCGCCAACCCGGACTGGATCAACACTGGGGAATCCGCTGGTAGGTCGCTGGCGGCACTTTGCTCCACTCCCGCATTGTTTTGTGCAGAAAAAGTTAGGTTTTTTTTTTACTTGTTTATATGCACCGATAAGACCCCAGCTTCTGGATATCGGTGGGACAATAAAGGCTTGCATAAAACATAGTTTTAAAAGTTTGGTTACATAGATCGCGTCAGAGCAGTGGTTCTGTGTTGTTGGCTTGTGACCAATTACAAGGAAACAACACCATCACAGGCTTTGGCGTTAGTTTGTGGGCTGTTGGTAGTGAAAGCAGCCTGTCCACAAGGGTAAAGGATAGAGATAAGAAGAACAAACTCTTTTCTCTTAAGTTTTCTTTAAATTCAGCACCATGTGTTGCTTCCTGGGGCCGAGCAAAGGTAAAAAAAAATGTAACCAAATTCCCAAGGTTGCGATGGCTGAAAGGATCAGGTTATGTTGCAGATGTCGCCCTCTGCCCTGACATGTTCAGATACTTTTTCCAAGAGTTCCTCAGACTGTTAACACCAGATACCAGGAGCAGCAGGTTTGTGAGTGAATGCACTGTGTGAATACGTGTTTATGTTTGTCCTTATTGTGCCACAGCTCCGATTGACTGGGGTAAGGATGACCTAGTGGCAGGGCTACTGTAGCACAAGGCTGTGGACAAGGATTTTTCCATTGTCCTCCTGTGGGGCCGCCCTGAAATGGATCAGTGTTTGTAGCCCTAAACAGCTGTTAAAAGATGCATGAAAGCCCAGTTGTAGTTGAGTTACTGCAAACAAGTCCATGACTGAGAGGCTTTACAGACACATGCATGAAATCCAAATGATATAGTTAAAAACAAAAGAGACTTTGACAGGCCTTAAAAACAACTGGACTTTTGTTTGGTAATACACACAGCTGTGGACCTGTTGAGTACTGTGTAGCCACTTCTACAGGACATACACTGTCGGTGCACTGCAAAGGCTCTGAAATCTAGTTTCATAATGGGTTTTGAGTGTTTGAACGAGTGCTCTACCAGTTTACCATTGTACTCTTATTTTAGTGTCAGAATCATGATGGCCAGTTGTTCTGGTGCTTACATTACCCACAATGCTACACTGCTTGTAGTGGCTAATGTAGCCCTTGAGCCACTAACCTCATGCAGAGATGAGGAGGAGGCTACAGATGCCTGCTACGCTCATTTCTGTGACTGTTTTTCAGACTTCTCTAGTCCCAGCTGACTCTGACTCAGGTGACGTCAACTTGAGGCAGTTTGTCAAACGTCACACAGCCCCCTCTGGAGACACAAAAGGTTTCTACAACGTTTAAACAGTAGTAAAAGTCTGTAAACGGACCTTACCTTTCACAATGTGAAAGGAGGAATTCCCTTTTAAACTACAGCACACTGGCACACAGGCCCTAGTCGCCCACCAGGTTCGAACTCGCAGCCCTTCTTGCTGTAAGGCGACAGTGCTAACCACAGTGCCACTGTGCAGTCTACTTAGTGAACATTTTATTAATGGCATCTGATATCAACAGCAGTTGTTCTTGGTGAAATTAAATGTGTAGTTATGACCAGTATGATTATACTTCAGCCAATAATTATCTTTTATGGGGAGCCAGATGTATCATTGATTGGACAGTCGATCCAATAATTAAAGTTGATGAAATCCCTAAGTCCTCATACCTCGTAATATTCAGACGCAAAGTCTAAAGCCTAATGCAACAGACAAACGGTACCACTACAGTATGTGCACAGCTGCCTGTCAGCCTCCACCCTAATGCTACAGTGGAGCAGAGATAAGCATGCAACAGGCGTGCTGAGTGGTTATTACAGGATTGAATAAAAACCATAATAAATAAAACGACTCTGGCTGTGGCTGCAAGTCAAATGCATATCAAACTGTATTTTGTTGCATAATAAAATGAGTACCCATGCACCAAATATAGTTTTTATCAATGAGCGTAGTCCAAAAGTGTTCAGAGCAGCTCATGCTGAGGGTTTGACCTTTTGTTCTCCACAGTACACAGTGGTGTGAAATGACTTTATTGAGTGAACTAAATGCCTTTTGCTCCTGTTTAATTAGCCACATAGTTATTACCCGAAGGCAGGGAATGTTGTTTGGAAATGATGTGTTACTTTTAATTAGGCCTCCTAGGAGAGTAATGTGTTCCACCTGGAGAGTTAAGGCTCCTCCGGCTCAGTCGTGACGTATTTCAGTTTGGCCACAAGTGCCTAGTGTGTACGCAGAAGTCGGAAACATCACACTTAGCTCAGCCCTGACAAATCTATTTAGTTGGACTTCTAGATTTATACGATGCAAACTTGAAACATTTTCTTTACATTAATAATGGGAATAGGGCCACTGTGAAAAACTGAGTTGTGACTTTTATGTCAGAATTTTGAGATAAAAGTCAGAGCTCAACATTTTTACGGGGCCGTAATCCCTTTTCGAATCTAATAAGCCCAAGTTCACGGTGAATGTGCATCATTTAGAATCCAACCACCTGTGACATCAACACTTTAGTTCGTTGTACCTGCTGTTCATATTCCTACTGTAGTCGTTCTTTTGTGTTGTACAAGTGTGTTATTTACTGCCCCCTTATCTTTCACTAAAATGCCATAGCCTCTCTGAAAGGATGCACTGAGAGAGAACAGGATATCCTGCGTTTAGGAGGAATAGGTCAGCCTGCAGGAGGATGTGGCTCAGGTCTGATGTTCTCATTAGCCTGGTCCTGGTATGAGAACTGAAGCTTCTCCATGGCATTAAATATTTAACATCAAGCATTTAAAAAGTTAGAATGTTGTTAGAATTTTCTTAGGATTCAAAATCTGTTCCCACTGTTCTAATGCAAAAACTGACCGGACTTACTTGTTCAGTGGAATGAGCAGGAAGAATACCTACAAATGATTTGCATGTTTTTTTTTTGGTCCATAGTTTTGCATCTTTTACACATTAGCCAGAAAAAAACAAGTAAATGACACGCTCTTGATGGCTTAAAGTACCAGGTGTTGGTTCGAAAGCAGCTTATTGTAGTTCCCTTCTAATTAAAAGGCGTTCAGTGCTTCTCTCACTGTGATGCAGGTCACATGTAATTTTGGTCATCATGACAATTATCCTAATTCTACATTCACTGAATTTAAATTGCTCTGACTGGATTTTTCTTCTGCTTGTTGGGAGATAATTGTGAGAAATGAAGGAGACAAAAGAAAAAGAAGAGGTGGGAGAATGTGAATTGGGCATTGATTTTTATAAGTGTACACACCCGAGGTTTGGTGGGGCGATGCAGCATAGAGCAGATGCTGTCTCTGCTTGGCTTCACATGTTTGTGTGTTATATGCAGACATCACAGCGCCCACCAGGCTTTGGGAGACAGGAGGTTGGTCTCTCTCCATACCAACAGGTGCCTCTGGCCCTGGTCTCTGAGGGAAATCGGAGACTCCTTGGAGGTTTTTGAGGCAAAGTCAACATACAAGTGATGTTAATCACAGTTAGACCTCTAAGAATCAGTATATAGCACTGGTTAATCGTTATATTCTGTGTTTAACAGACTCTGGTGTGTGCTGCACCACAAACGGCTGAATACTTTTCACAGTGTTGACTTACTGATTGTCTGCACTTGGATTTTCTGTACAGTCAATGCAGCGCTTTCCCTGCAGTTGACACTCAAACCTCATCTTTCGTGTCCGTCTCCACGCAGGCTCTCTGACCGTGGGTCTGGTCCGGCAGTGCCAGACCATCCACGGTCGACGCCGGACCTGCATCCCCCCAAAGCTGCCTCCTGAGTGGATCACCGCGCTCTTCTTCATCATCCTGGGCATCATGTCCCTCACCGTCAGCTGTGGCCTACTGGTGATGTCACACTGGCACCACGAGGCCGCCCGATACGCCCGATGGATTGCTTTCACAGGGAGTAGGCATTTATTGTCACTTTTCATTTCAGCCAGTGGGATTTGATAGTTTCCAGATTGAATATGTCAAAATGTTTAGAAGAAATGCACCTCCATATCCGTACAGTGTCCGTTCCACACTACAAGCAGACATCGCTGTTTTTCTCTCTTTTTGCAAATGACACTCAGGATGGAGAGCAGTTGTCAGCCAACAGGAAGTGACGACTTTAAAACTGAGAGAAAAACACAAGCATCAAATGTTCCACATTAGAAGACAGGATGTATGTGTCCTCCTACTTTGATATGTAAATCATCAAACATCTGCTGGAGTGGTAAACATAACTGGCCTGTGTCCATTTTGCAGCTGTTCATTTATGAGAAATGTGCAGCTATCCCTCCATTTTAGCTAATAGAGCCATTTATCTGTTACGTTTAGCTGATAATTATCCAGGTAGGTAGGTAGGTAACTTATTACTTTTAGCCTGCTTTATCCAGAGTTTTAGTGGGTTCAGCTTTATCCAGTACCTTTTGATAAAGACCAATATCACCCATTACGCTTAGGTAACTATTTCAACCATGGGGTTAAGCTCAAACTTATTTATCTGTTACTTTAGGCACTTCAACAGTTTATCCATTATTTTTATCTAAGTATTTATTACTGCTGTCTATTACAACAATTTATCCATCACTCTTCACGTTTCTACTTATCTGCTTTCTTACTAACAGGTTTTCATTTCACACTTACAGATATTGAAGTGTCAGTGTCCACTATGTGGATTCTAATTTTTAAAATTAGAATTGTAGTTTGTGTTTTCAAGTAGCTGAGCTACTCCGTTATCTTTCCACATGCCCCCCTGGGCTACAAGTTAGTACTTGAGCTCTGCCTGCCTCTGCCCCAGAGGAGATATTAATGCTCTCCTCTCCCTCCTGTTTTGTTCTCTGTTGTAGTGGTCCTGTTCTGCATGGCTGCTCTCATATTCCCAATCGGCTTCTACATTAACGAGGTCGGAGGACAGCCCTATAAGCTGCCCAACAACACAGTGGTGGGCTCCTCCTATGTACTCTTCGTTCTGTCCATATTCTTCACCATAGTGGGCCTGCTGTTCGCTGGGAAGGTATGTTTGCCTGGCTGACACACCCTCCCTCCTCTTTTTGTGGGTCTTTGGAGAAACGCCACTGGAGACAGATTTCATTAGAACTGACCTCTCCGTCGCATTGTCGCGAGTATCGTCGAAGTGCGGCTACACTGGGAAGCACCCGTTAGTGGTTTTTCCTTGTGGATGAATTATTACAATGCTCTTAAGTGGTGCTGAAATCTGTGCGATCCATCTGTCTGAGCAGGCGTGGAGAGCTCTGAGGTGGCCCTCGTCTTCAGTGACTGTGAAATGGTGAGCACACAGGAGAATACTAAAAACCATGATGAGGAGGACTCTGAATGCCACCCTGTTGTGTTATAAGTCATCTTAAAAATTAATTACAGATATTGGATATTTATTGCTCCTTTGATCCCATCACCCATGATGCACGTAGGAGCGGATGCTGGCCACAGCACCAGATATTGGCCAGTCACATCCTTTTTCATGGACTCCAGGTCCCTGACATGAAGCTATTTGTAAGGTATACCATGATATCTTTTTCTCTGCACATTTTATTTAATTGTTCAGCTATTTCTTTTGAAGCAGTATTTTTTTTTTTTAAAGTTTCCCTGCCATGCAGCTATATTGTGGATCGCTTTGCCTTAAAGAGCTGTTAACCTTAAAATAACTACAGTATGTTTTAAGTGTGAGGTTTTTAGTGTCCTGGCATCAAATGTACAAGTCTGGACATGCAAAACTGGAATATAAAATGGGGTATCAGCAACACCTAACCAGAGCGGCCTGTCAGTCTGACTCCTTTTTGTTAGATTAAGCCTTCCGCAGTCGGGATCAGCAGCGAGACCCGCGTCAACAGGTCAAACCCCTTTCTGGTCTCTGTTGCAGATAATTTTTAGTGATGTTGTGAATGTATTATTCACCTTTTTGAGCATTTACTGTAGTTTAAACACTATCAGGACTGAATCCAATTAGTTTCATACAGCTGGGATGTTGATGGCTACTTCATCTCTGTCTAAATGAACCAACAGCCAGTTTGTTCTTTTCTAGAAGCACTGTGACATTTGTGAATGAGCATGGAAGATGTCATCTTATTAAAAATGACTCGCTGGAACAGTGATCGTCTCACCAGTTTGTTTTAACAATGTTTGTCATGAACAGTCGTAATGCTGAGAGTTTCTAAGCAGAAGGACAAACATCACACAGAAATACGGAGAATCAGCAGAGGCAGAGCTGCGTTACCACTGTGGTAGTCCTTTGTATTTTACTTGATAAAGTCAAATTTCAAGGTTAGAGCTAAAGAAAATACACTGATCCATTTTTGTTCACAGATGATACTTTCGAGTGCACAACGTTCATCTGATGTTTTTGTCTTTAGTGTTCATCAGCAGAGTCTCTTTGGAGCAGTTTCATGCTTTTCCTCCTGTGTCTGTGGGGATGCACTGGATGTTTAGGTTGCCATGGAAACATCTTAAAGTATTTAGTGATGTGTGTTATGCTATGAGCAACAACAGCAGAAATCCAGGCGTGTGTTTAAGGTCATGTCGCACCCTGCTACATTTGTCTATCTACTGTTTAACTTTTTTCTTTTTGCCAATGTTTTCATTGGCAACAAGCAAAGCAGGAGAAGAGGGAGACGTTGGTTCTGATACCACAAAGCGATTCTTTTCTCTCACCCCAGTGGAAAATAGCTTAATTTAAATAACCATGGCATACATGCGGAACGATATACATTTGATTTATACACTTATTCAAATACTTTAAATAGCATCTATGAGAGATGTAGTTTTTATTTAATAGCAAATCAGAGAATTTAAAGATGGTCTTAGGCCTGTATGAAGGCATGTTGTATGTGCACATTAGGAGCAAGATTCTAGGTCATAGAATGCCATTTAGATATGATTGATGCATACAAGTAATTTTACACCAGCATTATTAACAAACTGTATTATATAGAGATCTCATTGAAAATGGGTAAACTGCTAACAAAAACACTGGATAATACAGTCACTGACTGAAGGAACATGGGACCTAGGCATTCAGATCAATGACCTCAAACTATAAAATGATGCTGCAGTCACATGGAACAGACATTACATGTTCTCAGTAAAACATGCTACTAAGGTAGAACAGTGACACACACACATACATATACACATGCTGTGTCTTCATTCCTTGTGGGGACTTTACATTGACTTGCATTCATTTCCTGTAGACTTATCCTAATCTTAACCATAACCACTACTTGCCTAAAACCTAACCCTGAACCATGTTGCCACCCTAAAATTCAGTGATTTCCTTGCGGGGACCAGAAGCTAGTCCCCACAAGGATGGCCGAGTCCCCACAGTGTGAGTGTGTTAACAGGTTTCGGTCCTCATGCTGTAAGTAATACAAAGGCAGACACACCACACTTTTTGGTTTAACTTGTGGTGATGTAACACTAAACCTTTAAATCAACAAGTACAGCTTACAGTACATGAAATGACTCTGGGGGTTACTGAGAAACGTGTATCCATAGATTTAAAGTCACAAAATTTATCATAAATATAATCTTGGCAGTTGAGTTTGGCACAGATTACATTACTCCTGCGTGCCAATCGGCACTGCCGTGTGCTCCACGGTGGATACGAGTAGCCACTTCCATTCTCACCACAAGAGGGTGTAATTGGACAAATTTAAGTTGATGAATCCACTTTGCTGTAGATCACCAGGATGCCAAACTCCAATCAGAAGCAGATGTAAGGACTTTAAACTTATAAAACAATTTATGTGCATAATGTTTTAGTTCAACTTTTGTATTTTATCAAAGCCTTCACCACATGCCTGCAATGTCCCTGACTGTTTGTTGTCCCATGTGTACATATAGTTCAGCATAACTTGGTCCCCCTCCTGAAAGTGTTGGATCCATGGCTGAGGCTTGTGTCAGGCTATGGCAGGACTGCTGTGCTGCACCTTGGTTATTTGTGCAGCTGTGAGCAGGAGTACGCCGCTGAGAAGCTCCAGGCTGTAGGAGAGCCACGCCATCCCCAGAGACCAGCCGAAGGAGGTGTGGATGTAGGCCAGACCTTCTGGCCCCACCAGCCTTTCTGTCTCAGCCAGAGCCTTATATGAGTAGATGATGTAGAGGCTCACGCCACACAGGGTCAGCTGACCTGGACAGAGAGACCCATTACAAACATATATGGAGAAGAGATATAAGATTATTACTGGGTTTCCAAACTCACACAGAAAGAGTCTGATTTGTGAAAGTCACAGATACAAAACCTGAATGTTTTGGGGTAGAACATATTGAAACATCACATAGGCCTAATTTTATAACCCATCTGCTCGGATTAAAAAAAAAAAAAAAATCTGTTAAGATCCTTTATTTTAAAATTGTTGCTTTATACATTAAAAATCTTCAGCCAAGAAATTCCTTGCAGTCAGAGTGCTGTGCTGAGAGCCGATCAATAAAACAACAATAACACAGAGCCATTATCTACCTAAAAATCTCATACTGTGTGACAGGAAATACGTGACGCATGGGTTGTCTGCTTACACAATATCCAAGTCATCAGAGACTAGACTGAGACACACAAACACACAACTAGTCCGCACAAGTTTGATAGTGTTGCTATTGGAAACGCTTTTCATTTTTGATGGCTTGCTACTGGTTTTAAGAGGATGCAAGTGGAGTACAGAGGCTGCCCAGGGTGGGACTAATAATCATTTTACGATTACACCCTGAGGTGCTACGCGCTTGTAATGATGAGGAAGCTGCATCTGATGTCTAATTTTTATGCAGCTCAGCGGGAAGAGCAGAGAGGCTGAGAAACACCATGGACAGAGAAACAGACCAGAAACTGCCTCACACAGCTTAATGTATAGGCAGAGAGGAGGACTCCTACTACTACTAGTACTACAGTAGAAACAAATAGCTGATCAATCATGCACTCAAATACTCACTGGTACAAGCTTCATAATTGTGATGATTCTCTGTTTTTCTTTATCTTCTATAATATTCAAACAGTCAAGCAAACTGAGAAACTGGCCTTTTAAGACAGTCATGTGGTGTCGTTCTATACGTGGCAATGGTGGGTTATCAGTCTGTTGGTTGGTGCGCTATATTGGTCCACACAGAAATATGTCAACAACTGGAAGGACTGTCATGAAATTTGGCCCAGACATTAATGTACTATCTTTTAGTGCTAATGCTAGCATGCTAACTGGCTAACCTTACTGATAGTGAGAGTGTTATATAAGAATATTAGTAGGCAGTTAGCATTTAGCTCAAATCACTGCTGTGTCTAAGTACACTCTCAAAGAGCTGCTAGCATGGCTGTAGTCAGTTTACACTATTTTTTCACATTTTATAGATCAAATGATTAACTGATAAAATAATTGGCAGATTAATCAATAATATCAGTAAATGTTTCTTTAAGTCACAACTACTAAAAGTACTATTACTATTGCTTCTACTTCAAAAAAATCAATTGTAACAACTATATTTCAACTAACATTTTGATATTTTGTCTGCTTTTACCCCTTGTTGTCCTGGTGCTGTAATTATAAAGTAGGCACTGCATAGACAGCAACAGGAATAATAACATATGTCAGAATTTACACAATATTAAAGAGGACATTATGCATTTCTGCTTTTGGCATAAACAGCTTTGAGGCACTCTGTAAGTGCATATCAGAAGAAACCTTCCTCCAAACACCAATTTCACGAAAACTGAAGCAGAAAGGAAACACTTAAACAGCCCTGCAGGGACAAATACTCATCAGGCTGTTTAATGGTTGGTAAGATAAGAAGCTGCGACATTAGAATGAAGATGCAAATCAAAGAAATTCAAATGATCAGCTTTTTTTTCAGTTAAATATGCACAGTCGCTTCAGAAAGTGTTCAAACCTTTTCTCTTTTTTGTATTTATTGTGTTGAATATTAACTGACTAATGGTGCCATTTTACCCACTAATCTGTGCTCAATAACCCAAAATGACAAAGTGAAAACTATTTAACATTTGTATCAAATGTATTACAATTCAAAAACTGAAATCTCACCTTTCTAAAAGTGTTGACCCTTAACTCAGTACTTTGTAGAAGCCCCTTTGTTGGGGTTTTATTAATGTAACACACTCTGACTGAGGTGGCACTCTGAAGATGCTCAGGTATTAGATTGTAACTGACAAATCCAGAGTCCAGAGTGTAATTAAATCAAACAGGAATATAATTTTAAGGCTGAATGACAAGCAGGGCGATGAGACATGTCAGGAACATCGAAGACCCAGTTAGAGAATCAACTAGTTCACAAGGCGCCTAATTCAAGCCTTTATCATATTGCTCACATTTCCATGTGCTGCTTATTAAAGGGAGACTATTGATTTGATTTGATTTGATTTATTCATTCAAGCATGTAAAACAGTTGATATGTCAACACATGTAATTTCACACATATCCAGCAAATGCTAATCCAATATCAGTTTGCTTATACCTAGTACATGCTTGAACGAAGTAGGAAGAAGTCAGACTTATCCAGTCCTACCCCATGACATCATCTTACCATCATTGGTTTGCAAGCAGTATCTCTACATAGATAATTATCTTCTACACCACACAAGTAATATACTAAAGAATTATTACAAAGTGTTAACATTCATACACCACACCCACAATGTTCCATCTGGTTAATCATTAAGCCTGTTCTTGCATATATCTTGATTGACACATACCTTTATATTTATGTTTAAACTCGTCAATTCTATTACTATTTTTTATGTCCACACTTAAATTATTCCATAGTTTTACCCCACTTATGGAAATACAAAATCTTTTTTTGGTTGTACGTATAGCATGAATTTTTAAATTTAACTGACCCCTTAAATTGTATCCCCCTTCCCTTTCATTAAATAGTTTTTGAATTCCACCAGGTAATACATTGTTCCTGGCTTTATACATAAACTATAAAGTCTCTTTCTGAGTAAGTGTTTATTGATGACCAGTGGTGGAAAGTAACTACTGTACTTAAGTACAATTTTGAGGTATTTGTACTTTGAGTGTTTTCATTTTCTGTTATCTCATACTTGGACTTTACTACATTTTAGAGGTAAATAATGTACTTTTTACTTCACTACATTGAATTTTTAACTACAGTTACTTTTTATTACCAAATTAATACAAAAAATACAGTATAATTATGAGACCTCATTGATCTGTGGTGGAAAATCCACAAGCTACCCAGCGGTAATTCAAATTATATTCATATAAGCTGGTTAAACCTAGCTCCTCCTTTATCAGCTGCAACATTAAATGTGATGTGCACAATAATACATCAGTAATTATAATACAATAATATGATACAGGAATGTGAAATGTGCCATTTTGCATAATGAGCACTTTTACTTTTAGTACTTGAAGTATATTTTGATGCTTATACTTTTGTACTTTTACTTAAGTAGCTTTAACTTGTAACCGAGTATTTATACACTGTTGTATTGCTACTTTAACTTAAGTAAAGGATCTGAGTACTTCTTCCACCACTGTTGATGACAAGCTCCTCTTCAGAGAGGTCACAAGGTACTGGTGGGGCAGCATCCAACAGATCCAGGGGGAAGAGCTCAGCCAGATGCTCAGACATTTGGTTTATGTGCACACAAATAACTTGATTACTCCAAATTCCCTGATCAACATAATAGTGTAAACATAGCTAACTCTCCCAATAACCCAGACTGACTTTATTTGTTTGATCATCAGTTATTAAGCTGGGTAAATGGGGCAGGAATATAATAAGAGAAAGAAATACTTCATTAATGTTTGTTATTCTTGTTGATGGATCTTTATAACATCTTAGCCGAAGTAGATGTATGTAGTTATAGCTGTAACCTGAACATTATTTTACTTTTGGCCAAGAAACAAACACTGTTTGTCTGTAACTACCAGCTGTGGTTCTGTCCTCTTCTTTATCCACATAGTTTATTTTGTAGCACAGACTCTGAACACGCACACACACACCAAAAGACATAATAATGGTGTGTTCATTCATTCATTCCTTTCATAGAGATAACCCATCTATTATGAACACTATTATTAGGGTTTTGCAGCATTAGATACATTGATAAGATTTTTAACAGACAACTATTTTCTTTCATATGTCTAAAAGCCATATGTTAAATCCTTTGTCTGTTTACTGCATATATTTGATATCTTATCTTTTTGTGGCCCATGTGAACCACTGAGCAGAGGTCCCAGTGTGTGTAGGTTTCAGGAGGCCTTATCCTCATCTTGCCCCACACAAGCAATGTGAAGAGAAATCCAAAACATTAGATGCAAATGCTTCCAATGCAATTTTGCTTCACTCTTGTGTCACCCCACAGACCAATAAAGGTTCTCATAACCCATCTGACAGAGTACAGGGAGAACTTATGATGTAACAGAAGGGAGAGCAGCTACACACACACTTAACCAATATGGCCAAATTAAACAGCCAGTCAGTCTTGGGTGGTAATAAGCTGCAGGCCCTCTGGCCACATCAGGTCAATAACTATAACAGAGGTCAATTTCCGCCCGGCACATCAAATGTTCCTATGTGCTCACATTAACCACATGACGTTGCTTCACCACCACATTCTGTCCATATGTATTCCACCATTCCTTCCACTGGTTTTCAATTTGTTCTTATTGGAGAATGGTTGTAGAAGTGGACAACTAAAACGTCAAGAGAAAAAATGTAGTTGCAAAGGGTCCTTTATATTACAGTAGCTTATATTATTATTTATTAATTGTGATCTAATAAGCGTTCTTTGACTTAAAGCCACACTATGTAACTTAGTGAGTTACTCACTATGTAAAAAAGTGAGTGAGGACAGTCCCTGCTCCTCACCTAACAGCCATCTTAAGAAATAATCATCAACGTGTTGAGACGATTGACTCTTCTCTCATTTATACCAACATCTATTTGGCTCTTAGTTTTAACGTTGAGGTAAATGATCCGAAGCAGAATTACCTTGGTGCGTACCTTCCTCTTGCATCTTGCTCTGTGATATAATCTGTCATTTTTATTAACGCCTTATCTTCTACAACTTAGCTGCTGTAATGTGCAATTTCAATGCTTCAACCACCACTGAATCTTAAATGTGGTAAGGGATGCATTATGTTCAGGAAAGAAAACACAGGCACAGTCTTCACTGTCCACACTGTGGAGATGGGGCTTACTCACCCCTGCTCCATCTTTTTGCCCTATTTTAAGGTTTGGCTTACAGGTACACTAATAATATTGATTCAACTTGTCAGTGCCACCGGGCATTGTGGTTTTAATAGATCTCTCTTGAAAGGCTGATAAAATACCAAACATCTGAAGTGTGACGATGGATACAGTGACAAGACAGCTAAAAGAGAACCTCTACTTACTGCAGATGAAGAAGTAGGAGGCAGTGGCGATGAGGAGGACAGGGCTTCGAGCCAGGGAGCTGACCAGTCCACAGATGCCTCCAAACAGCAGCAGGAGCAGGCTGACAGGGAGCACCACCACTATTGCACTGTGTATGTCTGCATATAAACAGAGATGCACACAAAAACTGATGGATTATGAAGCATCTGTGGCTGTTTTACAGTGAAACGTCATTAGCAGAGTATCTTTCATCAAAGCTGAAAGAGAGACTCACTCAGCATGTGCAGCTCAGTCTCAGAGTAGTAGTCCACTGTCAATGAACCACCACCTGGTTGTTATGGTTCAGACAGGAGAAGCACAAGTTACATATGCAACGTTACTCCATCAGTCAGACACTCTCAGGCATGGAACAAAGTTATGGAAGAGCATGAATCTACCTTCGCTGACACTCCACAGCCCCGAGTGGGAGCTCAGGTCCTCCAAGTCGCTCATGTTCACAGGATTCATCTCTATGATGTACCAATACTCGGTTCCGAGGGAAATCGCCAAAAAGGCGAAACTCAAAAACCCACAGATACCAGCTGTAATAACTAGAGGCCCGAAGCTTACCTTCATCCTGTACATGCGAATGTTTGGTTCACTGTGATGGCTTCTAACGTTTTACGCGCAAATTATGGGATGCGACATAAAAACCCACGATGTACTTGCAGGTGCCAAAAGCACCATTAAGGTTATCCAAATGCTTTCCTGTCGAGGGGGGATTAAAACCTAAAGGACAGAGACGGCGATCAACTTATCTTTGTCTGGATGAGTCTCGTCATATCTGCACATGAATGCAGCCTGGCTGAAGAGCAGCTGTGGCCGTCTGGGAGGGACTTGAGGCGCGCACGTTTACGCAAAATATCATGGATATGACGAAATATATGCAAGTACATGAGGACGATCATATACATTCTCAGTTTTATACCAGTTTAGTACATAAGCAACACAGGACTGAAACGTTCAATTTAAGTTTAGGAAATGTCAAAATAGTTTTGTTGTGAAAAACAAAGGCAGGCTTGCGGGTATGTGGGTTGTGAAACTTTCTCATTTCAAAGCAGGATACACATCCATTAAAAATAACTAGCAAACAATATACAGTGTGGTGACCTCAAAGTACAAGTTTAATGGGTAAAAACTGAGCACACAAAAAACATCACAGATACATTACAGAGGAGATATGGAGCAACATGGGTTCTCAGACCAGTCCCCCGTCAGACAAAATGAATCTCTCACACATCACCCATCTCATTCATCAGCATCATCTCTGGCGTCACTCTTCTCCCATGGCTGTCTTTATGATTTCTGCTCTTCTTAATTTAGCTGCCTCTTCAAACTTGGTGACAGCCTCTTTACAGGATTTGCTCTGTGAGTGGAGAAAATGAACTCTGAATCAGAAATGACAGCAAGGTTTCATGTTCTCACAGGAACTAACATTTTGCAGATGTCAGTTTTGCTGTGCAACTAATTCAGATGTGTCCATGAACCAAAAAAGATAAGGAAAAGATTTTTAAGAGGTTTTAGGGAAAAAACATATTATAGGAAAAGATTTTTAAGAGGTTTTAGGGAAAAAAAACATATGATGGCAGTGGCATACTTTAATCTGACTTAAAGCTGCATTAACTGAGCTTTAGCACAAATTTGGATAAATCATCCACTACAAACAATGTTTGACATGTATATTGCTAAAATGTAAACTTCTATTTGACATTGTATGGCTGCAGTGCCACAGGAAATCACAGGCTCTATATTCTGTATACATTAGCTCTGGAGCTGGTTATTATTGCTGCGCTACCTGACTGCTACAAATGTCTCCGGCTGTTGTGACCACATACAGTATGGTGTATTTTCAAGACAGGACAGTAAGGGGAAAGATGAGCGGAGGGAGAAGAGGAGGGTATATTCCTCAAGTTTGTTTTGACTCTCACTTTGCCCCGAATGGTCAAAATTTAAGGGGAGAAGCTAGTTAATGCAGCTTTAAATTCATTATGTAAGTATGTAATGTGACAGTCATGGTGTCCTCAGAAGAACATACAATGATGGACTTGTGTCTCTCCTTCTGAAGCTTGATGAATTCCTCCACAGACAGTTCTTCTACTTTCTTCTTCAGGGCGATGAAGTAGCAGGATGGTGAATGAGACTGGTGCTCCTTTCTGGCAACAAAAACAAGGTCATGATGAAGAAAAAAAAAAACTGTAAAGCAGTGAAGATCATGGGCAAACTGGTGCACACACACACATCTAAAGAACGTATACTGTACCAAGCAAAATGGACCTGAGAATGACAGCACTCAATGAATACGTTGGTTCATATCACCATGTCTCAAAGAGGTGAGATGATGAAGGTATTTAACTGCCTCCAAATGAATGAAACATTTAGTGCTAATCTACACACACACAACTACAAGGTTTTAACAGAAAGTGAGCATGGCTGTTTAGCTGGGAGAGAGGGACTAAAGCAAGATGCTCCAAGTTTCATTATGAGAAATTATGATCGAGGCATATTTGCCTGTTCTATGTGAAATTCGCCTCTAAAACGTTCCATTACTTCATAGAAATGGACCAGTAGCTGCGGAACACTGGACCAGCTCTATACCCTCTTCAGGGTGGCGGAGGGTTCATGGGAGTTTGCCCAACCAGTCTACATGTGTTTCGTGGATCTGGAGAAGGCATTCGACCGTGTCCCTCGCAGCGCCCCGTGGGGGGTGCTCCGGGAGTTCGGGGTCCGGGGCCCTTTGCTAAGGGCTGTCCGGTCCCTGTACGACCGGAGCAGGAGCTTGGTTCGCATTGCCGGCAGTAAGTCAGTATTGTTTCTCTTAAGGATCGCCCTATCGTTGGACTCCGGCAGGGCTGCCGGTTGTCACCGGTTCTGTTCATTACTTTTATGGACAGAATTTCTAGGTGCGGCCAGGGGCCGGAGGGAGTCCAGTTTGGGGACCACAGGATCTCGTCTCTGCTTTTTGCAGATGACGTTGTCCTGTTGGCCCCATCAAACCAGGACCTCCAGCATGCACTGGGGCGGTTTGCAGCCGAGTGTGAAGCAGCTGGGATGAGAATCAGCACCTCCAAACGCCTTGGCATTCCCCCGGAGGAGCTGGAGGAAGTGTCTGGAGAGAGGGAAGTCTGGGCATCTTTGCTTAGACTGCTGCCCCCGCGGTTCCGGATAAGCGGAGGAAAATGGATGGATGGATGGATGGCATAGAAATGGAACTTTAAAACACTGGAGTGCTCCTTTAAAACTATATGCTAATAATATATTTTACTTTATAGCCTACTTTGTTTTTATATTTCTGTTCTATTACTGCTTGTAGTGAGTGAGCTGTCTTTTTTTTTTAACTGAATCATTGCCCTTTTCCTAATAGGAACAGCTGATAAAACTAACTGACAGAGAACTGAAGCTGCACATATCTCCTGTCTTTATTTGCACTTCTGGCCCATGAGCCTAATACTGCTGTTATCTTACTCTGGCTCATCCTCCGGCTCCCAGCCCTCCAGCTCTTTAAGGCAGAAGAAACACATGGCGATGTCTGGGCTGTTGTCTGAAGGAGTGTGAATGAAACCAGCTTTGGCCATCTGGAGAAACAAATGAACAGGCAGATGACATAAAAAAACAAAAACAACCCATATTTAGTGCTGAAGTGATCAGTCAATTAACTGAATAGTCAGTAAGACAGAAACCAATAACTTTACTGTTACATAAATCATGTATTGCCAAGTAAAAACTTCCACAATTGAAACAATGCACAGATTAACAAACCATAAATCCAAAAAATAATTAATTGTGATAATCGATCAGTCATTTCAGCCATTTTCCAGGCAAAAACCTGAGAAAAACCTAAGCTGATTTTCTGTTCTCTTTGAACTGAATATCTGTGAGTTGTAGCAGATTAACAAACCATAAATCCAAAAAATAATTAATTGTGATAATCGATCAGTCATTTCAGCCATTTTCCAGGCAAAAACCTGAGAAAAACCTAAGCTGATTTTCTGTTCATTTTGAAATGAATATCTGTGAGTTGTATGTATTTTGGATGGATGGATGGATGGCATAGAAATGGAACTTTAAAACACTGGAGTGCTCCTTTAAAACTATATGCTAATAATATATTTTACTTTATAGCCTACTTTGTTTTTATATTTCTGTTCTATTACTGCTTGTAGTGAGTGAGCTGTCTTTTTTACCCTACTGAATCATTGCCCTTTTCCTAATAGGAACAGCTGATAAAACTAACTGACAGAGAACTGAAGCTGCACATATCTCCTGTCTTTATTTGCACTTCTGGCCCATGAGCCTAATACTGCTGTTATCTTACTCTGGCTCATCCTCCGGCTCCCAGCCCTCCAGCTCTTTAAGGCAGAAGAAACACATGGCGATGTCTGGGCTGTTGTCTGAAGGAGTGTGAATGAAACCAGCTTTGGCCATCTGGAGAAACAAAGGAACAGGCAGATGACATAAAAAAAAAAACAAACAAACCTATATTTAGTGCTGAAGTGATCAGTCAATTAACTGAATAGTCAGTAAGACAGAAACCAATAACTTTACTGTTACATAAATCATGTATTGCCAAGTAAAAACTTCCACAATTGAAACAATGCACAGATTAACAAACCATAAATCCAAAAAATAATTAATTGTGATAATCGATCAGTCATTTCAGCCATTTTCCAGGCAAAAACCTGAGAAAAACCTAAGCTGATTTTCTGTTCATTTTGAAATGAATATCTGTGAGTTGTATGTATTTTGAGTCAAATAGAAATTGGATAGATACTTTATGTATTAGAAATGTTTAGTGGAGATAGGATGTCTAGTTAGACTGTTAAATGCTTAGTCATGCTTATGAGTTTCTACAGGGTACATCTGGTCAAGGATAACTAGAGAGAAGAGTTGATGACTGTCAGCAGACAGGGTGTTTAATATTATTATTATGACGTGTATAACTGTAGCCTTAGCCATAATAGGTTCTTATGTTTAAGCCACGACATGTTACTAGAGGTCGTGAGAATGTTTTTAGCTACACACCACTTAACCAACAGACACACACATTGATTTGCTTCATGTTTTGACTACTGCTATGACCAGCTGCAAAGCTGGCAACAGAGATGTCTCGGTTGACGTTTCTGTGTAGTATGGGGCTAGCCCAACCGAAGGGATATAATGTATAGGCCTGGTGGGTTCAGGGTCTTTCATCTTACATCTGCCTGCGTGCAGTTTGGAGGTGCAAGATACCTGAGCGTGTAATGTTAATTTTACCTGTGATCCTTTGAATAAATCAGCACTGTTTTGAAGTTACTTGGACTGTCTCATCTCTCAGAGTCAGTATGGTAAAAAGTACTGGGTACAACAACCGCCTTTCGGACAAAGCCTCGGAAGATGTGGTCTTACACAATACGTTAAGATAGAATATTAGATTTGGGAGAAACATGACAAAGCATGGTTTAAGATCCCTGTGCCACATGCCACCATTTCACCTAATAAATTATCTGTATTTACTTCATAACACGTTGGAGAGACTATGTCTCCCGACTGGCCTGGGAATGCCTTGAGATTCCTCTTGAGGAGCTAGAGGAGGTGTGTGGGAAGTTCAAAGAATTTGCTTTGTTAGTTGACTTCCAGTTAAGTTAGGGCGATCCTTAAGAGAAATACCACTGGCTAACCTGACATCTAACTTAACGTTAGCTAGGCTAGGCAATATTACTTAAACGCTGCCATACATTTAAAGCTTTCATGGTGAGACTTTAAGCTAGCTAACCTTACATTAACTCTTTAACACTGATCTGTCCTTTGTACTTTTGTTAGCGGTGGGCCTACAGCTAACTACCAAAAGGTAGGCTTGCAGCGGATTTCACAGGAATATATGTGGTTTTCTTGTTTCAAGCTAACCTAACGTTAGCTTGAAAGGCGTCCCAAACCGTAGTAAAAGTCAACCGTTCACTCACATTCTCCGGGGTACACTTGCAGTCTTCATTGAATGGCCACCCCTCGAAAGTTTTCAATCTGTTCTCATAAAAGTACATTCTGATATCCTCGTCGTTGAACGGCTCCATTGTATTTAAAAATATCTAAACCTGTCACCGATCTAAAATCACAGATCTAAAAGGCGCTTTCGAATTTCTGTGATATTCTCTTCGACTGTTTTGATTGGTAGATGAGGACCACGAACGTCACGTAACTTCTTCTTCGTAGGTGGATGATAACGAAAATTGCACAAATACGCCACCAGTTGTTCTTGGGCGATATGGCTAATAATAAATAATATAATATAAATCTAATATAACCAAACTAGATTAACATTTTATTGTATTATATTAAAATTGTATTATTGTTAAAATTTGTTAAATTGGCTTTCCCCCGAGACCTTATCCTGAGCGGAGCGGAGCAGGACTTTTGAGTCTGCCCTCAGGCTTCCGTTTATTTTTATGGGTAATGTAGTTCTTGGAGGTTATTGGCCCAAAATGCGACGCGCGGAAGTCTGAGCTTTACATCAACAAGTGGTTAAGGATTTCTTCGTGCAGTTTTCCTGCACATCAACACTTTTGTTAACGCTGCTAACAGAGATAATAATCGTGTGCTTAACGTTATATATGTAGATTTGCTGGCTTCTTTTTTTGTGTTGTGGTTATGGAAGGACGGTGTGCTGTCGAGACTTTGGCAGAGTTTGGCTTTTCAGGAACATCATGCACACCGAAGGTCAAGTCTGGTTTTGGGATATATGTCTTCCTTTGCATGGGCAGCGACGAGGTCTATGTATTTAATACTCAAGAGAGAAAACTCACGGCAAGTAACTGGGCACTGAGCAGTCACCCCAGTTACACCACACTACACCCGGCTCTGGGTTGATTATATCATAAACAAACATTAACTTTGTATGACTTTGTTATGTTGTCTTGTTCCAGGCGGTCCTCCAGTTTCCTGGACTTGTGACTGACCTGGTTGAGAGTCCTGATAAACAGCTTCTCTATGTGTCCTGTAGAAGTGGAGTTTACTGTGTCAGCTTATCATTTCTGCTGTCCAGGTATGAACCTTGATAAATGTTCAAATTTGACCATATTCACAGCCATTGCTTTGGTTCATGAATGGTCTATGTTGTAGCACACTTAATGTGACCTTTCACCTCTGCAGGGCTCAAAGCTCCCTAGCCAATACATCTTCCTGCCTGGCTGAGCTGAAAGTCTCCTCTGAGTTCCTGGTTGTTGGAGAAGAAGGAGTGTTATCACTGCTCCTCATTGACTCCGTGCTCCTGATGCTTTCCCAGACAGACGTGTCCTGGGTGCTCCTACTTTTGTGCAACAGGCCCCTGGGTGATGAGTCTGTACAAAACACCAAAACAAACACAATCCAGCAGCTATGAGATGCTCAGTTCATTCACTCTACCACTGGTCTCAGCTTTTGTACATGAAGATGAGTTAAAGACAAGAATGAGAAGGAGGCCTGTGCTGATTTGTGTCTTCCATGGTCAAACAGCATCACCACCTTTCTCCTCTACTTCTTCAGCAGAGGCAGCGTCCCCTGTCAGCCACTTCCATCTCAAGCCTGTCCTCTTCAAACGTCTGTTTGGAATAGACACCGCCCTCATTAAATCACCGGTTATCCTTTGTGGCTTGCCGGATGGACGCCTGTGTTTCCTCCCTCTGCGTCTCCCAGGGTCACGGCTCAGAGTCCTACATAGCCTTGAGCAGCCAGTTGTATTTATTGGAGCATCTGTCGTCATGAAAACAGGTCCAGAACATGCACAGTGTTTGGTGGCAGTTGGTGAACTGGGCAGAGTTCTGCTAATCAAAATGGACAAGGGAGGGTCGGAGGGAGAGTGCAGCAGAGCTGGTTTTACTGAGGGGTGTGTACCAGGACCTGTGGTGTGTGGCTGTGTGGATAAGCGCCATCTTTACTACAGTACTGGTTCAGACCTGTTGGCACTGGATCTTTCAAAGGGATCATCTGGGATAGAGGGCCAAGAATGTGGTGAGGAGACATCCGCTGCCCTCCAAAGCCCCACCAGCTTAAATGTGTGTAGGGTCATCAGTTTGGCCCAACCTACATGCAGCCCTGCAGGTGAGCAGACTTGGGCATTTATGTTACATATCATTGTATACTGTATTTTGATTTTGTTGAACTTGTAACTCCGAACTCAGACTGAACTGCAACTCTGGGAACTGCTCTTACACATCAGGTGAAGTTCAGCTGCTGGGGCTGTCTATCAGAGGGCAGCTCCAGAGGATTACCTTGCCTGTTTGGAGAAAGGATGCTAGAATGTCCAAACTGCCTCAGGGGCGGTGTAGTGCCAGAGACCTCCTGTCTGCTATCGGGGATGTTTATGAGAGGTATACCCAGCATGACTCCATTGTGGTTGTTATTGTAATACAACATTGAAATGAAACACAGCAGAGATTTATTTAACTTAATGTGACCTTTCTATTGACATAAATCTCATTTCCCCTGCTTTCTGTTAGAGCATCAGTGCTGAAAACTTCAATTAAGTCCAAAAACCAAACTCTGAGGCACCTGAATCAAGTGCTGAACATTAGCTTCCTGTTGCTAGCCAGTACTAGGGAAGAGCATTTTCCCATCCAGGAGAAGCCAATCAGATGTCATGCCATGACAAAATGGAGCAGACTGCTTCAGAAAGACTCCTTAAACCTGACATGTGTCCTGGATAACTCTAGTCCTTATGTTCTGGAACGAGGCTGGACACTGACCATTGCTGCATTTCCTCTGTCCTGTTCTCCCAGCGCAGGAGGGGAAAGCTCCTCCACAAATTTTTCTTTCCAGTTCTGCAACCTCCATCCTGGAGAAACGTTAGAAGTATCACTGCCCCTAGCAGCTGCAGGTGACACATATTTCCCTGTGACGATTAACTGCTCACTCACCTTCTCTGTCACAAGTCTCCTGGGAGAGGAGGAGGTGGCTAGTTTTACTGGCCTGCAGAGTGGTTGCATCAGTTTGCCCTTGAACACACTGACAGTGGACTGGTTGCATGTCCTGCAGGTGAAGAGCTCCACAGCCTCACATAAAAACACCACGTCTCAACCAAACAACATCACCACCGCAGACACCATCCAAGCTTTTGTAAGATCACATCGGATTTGGTGCAGTGGGAGAGGGGACGGAGGAGGAGGTGGGGCGAGTGCCTTAAAGCAAGAACAGTATTCAGCATGTGTACGGGTGTCATCAGAGCTACTGAGGGATACACTGGTGTTGAAAAGCTCCGATTTGGACCCACAGGAGCCAATGTTGGCTCCTCATAATCTCTGCATTTCTCTGCTGGACTGGATGTTGTCTGACAGTCTGGGGGGAGTGAAGATGGGACACCGAGGAGACGAGATTGCCCTCAGCAGCCCAGTGGTGCACGCTCAAGGTCCAAATGGAGACACTGTCAAACTGACTGCAAAAGAGGTAAACATTATTTAATATTATGCTGTATTTTATCTTGCATCTTTTGACAGATGACTGTTGTATGGTTGCTTTGTTGGTCTCCAGGTAAATATCGGGGAGGAGAGCATGGCGAAGGAGTCCCTGAGCGCAATAGAGGTTCGGGTTGAGAGCTCGTCTGTAGCAGCAGTGTGTGGACTGCACCATGCTGTGCTGCACAGAGTACAGGTAAACTGTATACACACACACACCCTGTCCTTCATTTGTATCATGTTATACTTGAGGGCACAGACATGACTTGTGCTTTTAAGAGTTAAACATCTAAACGTAGAATATTTTCCTGAGGTTTTACTGTATGTTCCTGCTTTTAGATTCGTTTTTTATATACAATATCTTTTTCTGTTTCTTTATCCAGACTCTGTTGCAGAGAGCTCCAAAAAGGCCTGCTTCTACAAAGACAGTCCAGAGTCTAGGTTTAAGACAGGCACTGCAGCGGGCTGAGGTAAGTCCTACATCAGTTTTATTCTGTTTATTAAGGGCTGCAACTAACGGTTATTTTATTTTTTATTCATCTGTCTTGGTGGTATTTCTTTTTAAAATGCTATGTTTCCTCCTCCTCTCATGTCAGTGCCTGCTACAGCAGATCCAACAAAGTCGAATCTCAGCAGCTTTTGGCGTGGGCGAGTCCACAAGGCAGATGACCCATTCTTTTCTTAGTGTTTACCGTGAACTCAGAGAGAATCCTCTGCTTATAATTTAACTTTTTCTTCAGCCGCTCTTATTTTTGTTCAATGTTATGTAACCTGCTTTCTCAGCTGACTGGAAAATTATGTCCGTATGAATCTCTACTGTAAATATACTTTTGTATCACTGTAAATGTATTGTATTTTACACAAATGGGAAAACTTCCAGCCGGGTGAAGGCCCTCCAGGTTCACAGTCTCCTGATGTGCCAGACATGTAGGTGTAGCAGTGACACTGCTTCAGATGTCTGTACAGTAGTTGTTATGGAACAGTCAGTACCAATTTTAAAAGCACCAGCAGTTTTTAAAAGCAGCACCCCCATTTATAATTTGGGGTGTATTTTTTAGAATCAGGGTCTGCATTTACTTTTCTAATTGTGCTACAGTTTCAATACCACCCCCTCAGGGTTAGCTACCATACCACTTGGATTCGTCACCTGTTTGTATATCTTTACTCTTATTAAGTGATTGAATGGTGTGACCCTAATCTTTACTCAAGCACTATGATAAAACTTCACTGCTCCAGGTGAGGTTCAAACTCACAACCTCAGCATCACTCTGCCTGTTACTGTCTTATAAGTACTGTGCGCTGACCGATTGCGCCACCGGCGCCTGATGTAAGGTATGGCCTGGGCCAGTTAGATCTGTTCGCAGATTGAGTGTGGGTGATGCTATACTGACTGCCTCAGCTGCAGTTTTGATGGGTCTTGCTAAACTAGAACTAGCAGGGATTTAAAATTCAACTGGATGTATGGTGAGGTTCCCTGCAGGTGTTTCGCTGGAGTTCAGCATCATAATGGCCAGTGTTATTGTCTGACAAGAGATTCGCTCAAATATTTAGGCTAAAAAATAAAAAGTTGAAAATATTTTTAGAAACTCCAAGAATTGTGACAGGTACTGTTGGACAAATAATTTACTCTAAATCTTTTAACTGTTTGTCCTTGGCGGATCTCAGGCTAAAGCATTTAGCTTTTCACGCTATTGTCTGTGTTGCATTTCATTATTTGGGCTACCTGCCCATGGACTGCAACACCAAGGCTTCAGAAAAAAATGCTAAACCTAGAAACAATATCTCTCCATCTTTGGGCTGGATTATTGGCTTCCAAGAGTATTCAGATCAAGATAATATATTTAGTTACTTTTAAAGCCCTCTCTGCTCTGGCCTAGTTATAATTTATGATATTTTAAAACATCTTCACCTCAGCCCTTCAGGTCTGGCTTCTGTTTACTATAAGCTACTGTTGGTTTAAGTTAAACCTTTAAATTGACCTGTAGTGACATTAAATGAAAAGAACCACCCCACAGTGAACCTGGAACATGTTGCAGGTGATAACCCCAGTGCCATCTGTGAATGAGAAGCTCCGATGCCACAAGGTCACAAATACATCACATTCCTGTGTAACCTGTTGGACCCTAGACCCTTCTTGTCTCTTAATCACTCTCAAAAAAGTGGAAAAGTCCTGCATTAATAATGTTAAATGAAAGTATTAACAAAAATGTATTAAAAGTATTAGTAGGCTACTCAACACAGAAAAATGTTATACTATACAGTGTATTATATTATTACACTAACAGCCTATCAGTCATACACCGATGTACAACCAGGACCTGACTGTTGTAGTTGGTTGAGGTGGAGCTCTGCTGAACTAGTTTGTATCCAAGTGCCACTATTGATTGTTTTCATTAGGGATTAACGTGTTGATCGCTTTCTCCAGTTCTAATCGACTGACTGGTTTGTAAACCTTCTGACAGTAGTGAGACATGCCATCACAGCGCTCTAAACGATGATCAAAATAGTTGTTATAGTTTTAATGTAGGTGCGTGAGAGTGCTGTCAGACCTGTCTGTACCTTCACTCTCACACGTGCGCATACGCACATATAGCCATTAATATGAGCCTGGAAAGTTTGTGTTTCTAGGCTGAGATGTTCAGTTTCTTTTCTTTTATCACTGCTTAGTCAGAGAATGCAAAACATCCTTGACATAGTTTAGGTGCTCACTAGTCTTAACTGGGGTTTAAAAAGAACTGCACAGATGAATATTACATGAACATGCATCATCAAACGAAAGCCTTCCTTGTGGCTTCTCTCCATTCAGCTGCACTTGAATGGAGGCGATGGAAGATACTGTACCTCGGAATAGATTTTTAGAAAAAAGACATGTCCCTACAAAGGAGGAGGAACTTGTAATTGTTTTGACAGAGTGCTTCAATTTAACAAACAAGAGTGGATGTAATAGCAATAAAGGAAGACTGGTTGGATGTTCTAATAAATGGCATACTTAGCAGTATCTTTCATTTCTGGGCCGCTTTTAATGTATAAATAAGTATAAAAGAGTTTCAAACATTTTGCATTTCGCTTCATTACAGAAAAATTATCTTCCATTTTCATTTCCATTCTCTGTATGTTTGTCTCAATTGATTTTCTATGATAATACCCTAAAGTTTCTTCTTTAACCTGCTGTATTAACATATTTATGCTAAGGTCAGACTGTGGTCTTGAACTTAAAGAGGCTGTGTATGCGTGCATGTTCACATGTGTAATCAGGGCCTCTCATCCTGTTCAGACAGCCAGCCATCAATACAGTATATTAATTTTCTCCAAAATGACTTAATGTGTAGAGCTCTGCCTGTAAACCACTGATCTCCTTACTCACGTGTGAGTACTCACAGGAAGTGAGTACTACAGAGAAGGTTTCTTATTAAAAAAAATACCCCAAATTGCCTATCAAAGCAAAGCTAAAATCTGGCATGAAGGGATGATGTATCTAATATTTGAATGCATCTTTTAATTCAGCTCCACTGTAACAAGGTCCAGATGTTCTAGAGAACATAACATAAACCTGTTTGCAGAGAGCGAAAAAACATGACACAGGTATAGGCTAGCGCAACAACTTAAGTACTGATATTTCTGACCTCAATATTGAGACAGTGGTGAACCCTGAACATTGGCACACTGGAGCCTAACAGTGATCACAGTGTATTTAGTGAAACCATAGCATCTCAATGTTGAGAGGTTTATTCTCAACACATGAAAACATAAGGGGTTCTCCAGTTCATGCTTGGTTTGCAGCGACTTTTAGACTAATGGTATATCAAATAAAATGTGGTCAGTCTTTATAAGCAGGAATCTACATTTTATTTTAAATGACATGTAATGAGAGACGTAAGATAACAGGTGCTAAATGCATCACATATTCCTGGTTTAAAAACATTCCTCTGTAATAGTGTAGATGCAGGTGGATTTCAGTTTTAACTGTACAGCTTTCCCTGGGAATATTAATTCTCAGTTACATTAAAAATCCAGCATGCCAGCACCACCTCCACCTGCCAGCTCACAGCAGACCTACATCACTTGAGGCATCCCATAATGCTGTCTGTAGTTTCTTCCCCTAAAACAGATGTGAGTCCAACTGTTTGGCTCCTAATCTCACAGTTCGCTGTCAGACTAGGAGACACACACACAGCAAGCCTTTCATCTTTAATGGAAACTGCTGACTGGGACACAAAGATGTTTTGATATAAAATCTGTCTTACAAATTGTCCCCCAATACGGTCTCCCAGCTTTGTTAGTGACAGAAGTGTGAAATGCAGGACTTCTAGGCTTAAGAACTCTTTCTTTCAGCCAACCACGTGCATGTGATCTCATTTCAAATGTTTAATTGATGAGCTAAATATCACTCTGCTCTGTCGGAAATCGGACCCAGACTATAGCTTTCACGATGCACCACAAGTTCCGATCACATGACTTCGTGGTCGTTTCACTTATTTGAGTAACGTTAGCTACTACACCGTGAACCATCATCGACTCCCACCACTGTGCTTGTTACAGCGTTTACATCAACTACTGTTTTCATTTGCTCCGAGTATCGTGGTTTAGTAATTTTATAGAATCTTTAGTACTGAATGCAACACTGTCAAACCAAGTCCCTGTCGACTCAGTCTCTGTTTCGATGGCTTGACTCAGCTCTCCCAAAGAGCCCTGGCAACCAAACCGAAACAATCCAGGGATTCGTATGACGTCAAGACGCACTCAACTACTTCGAACGCCCCTATTCACGTGCCCAAGCCACGCCTCCACACCGTGGTTCCCATGAGCGAGACATCAAAGCCATATGACGTCATGTCATCACACATAAGCGATGAGGTTAAGTTAGAGGCATTTCAGAACTTATTTTCCAACTAGAAAGACACGTTTTTATTTTGATCCAGTAGTTTCCATATCGAATCATTACAAAAATGGAAAATCGTCCACCCGGTGACAAATCCAAGAAATACCTTGAATGGCAAGTCAGCCATTTCAAGAACTTACTTAAAGAAGAAACTGAAAACTGGTCGAAATACATAGATAGGCTCACGACGGAAAATCACACTCTCAAACAAACGTTAGAAGCTACCAAAAAAGAAGCAGACACATTGAAACAGGAGTTAGACAAGTGCCAGGCCTGTAATGAAAAGCTTAAGTCGGAATTAGACAACAGTGTGGCCGATCTACGGGAAACTCGTGCATACTACACAAACCTGGAGGAAGAATTGGTAGAAGAGATCAAAAATATCAGGCAAGAAAAAGACACACAGCTGAGACTTCAAGAAGAAGCCCACATACGTGAGCTGGACCAACTTAATGAGCAAAACAAATAGGAGATGGAAAGGCTACAAAAGGAATTTAATAACGAAAGCGAGAAAATGAGGAATAAGGAAAAAGAAAGAATGCAACGGCTCATTAAAGCGGAAGGGGAGCTCAAAGATCAAGTTCAGATAAATAAAGAGCTAAAAAAAGAGGCTGATCTGGCTAAAATGGTGCCTAAACTAGAAGCTAATGTGAAGACAAATGAAAGAGTAATAGAAACCCAAATAATGGAATTAGTCAGTTTACGAAAACAAAATGAAATTACTCAACACAATCTAGATTTAGTGAAACACAGTAATGAGAAACTACAGGCATCATTTAACAATTTGAACAAACAAATTCAATGTCAAGAAGATGAGATAAACGATCAATCAGTTAAGTTATTGAGATCTACTTTTGACCACGAAGAGGTCGATGAATTATGTTGTAAGCTGCTTGAGACTGTCAAAACACTCAAAAAAAGAATTCACAATGATGAATCAGAAATTAAAAAGCTGGAGGCTACAATCAGTTCTCTAAAGACACAGGAGCTGCGCTTTAAGGAGGATCTGCAGATATGTGCGTCTTATGTCAGTGATCACCGTGAGCTTACCAAAAAATTGATCAGCCTAAAAGAAAAATACATACGTGGTAATGAGAAGGTCGAGCTGGATAAAGAATCTTGGACGGGATTGCATAATATGCAGAAGTGGCTGATCAAACGAAATGAAATTTTTGACAGGCTTGAAGAGAATAACAAGAATCAAGTCAAACATATGCAAAAGCAGATGGAGTATTTACGCCAGCCTGAAGCGGCAGCAATCAGAAGGGCGAATGAAGAATTCCTCAAAAGATATACTCTGCAAAAAGAGCTCCAACCGACTAAACTGAAACTTCAACAGACTGAATTTCAACTTAAACATGCTGAAGAGCAACTTCAACAGACTAAACTGCAACTTCAACGGGCAGCTTATCGGTTCAAGTGACGTTATTTGATATGATTTTCTAATCAGTGTTTCTATTGATGTGAAAAACCTCAAATTGTTTTTGTGTATGAAAAATGCTTTACAAACAAAATTGAACTAACTGAGGTGTCACAGGCAATTAAATGAACCAAAGAACTAAAGGAAATCAAAGCAAACTAAAGAAACATCTAAGTAAAAGAAATATAGTAAATTATATGATATATGAATAAAGATATTCCAAAGAGATAAAGGCATTAATTTAATTATCAAGATAAAGTAATAAGGCATGTTTACTAACTTTCTGGCTGTAGCTTTGTCTCGACTGAATCAACCAACAACAATGTAACAGCTGAAACTTCAAATTGTACCTTTTATGATATACTCTGTTGCTTAAAGAGATGAGCCCCAGATGTCTAATTGTTTTCATCTATGAATAAATAGATGCCTTAAGTGCGCTCTAAGACTGATGTGTAGTACCCTATTAAACAAGCACTGTGGAAAACCCCAGTACTAGTGTAGCTGTGACTTTTTGGCTGTCTGCTTCTATTGCACTCTTCTTGGCCACCCCCAGCAAGACGTGGACCAAGCCTGTCATTTTGGATAGGCTTTATCCACATCAAACTATTGGACTTATAGCAAATGCACAAATGTCATTAACAACATTAATTATGGCTCATTCCATTAACATACTATTGTGTCTGCCATTTTACTAAAACACCTAAATTACACAGCTTTGTTGTGCCTGTGTGTTTTGGTAATATGAATGCAATGATAAAAACCGGTTGTCCACTTCTTTATAGTGAATTGTGCAAAACTGTGCACAAACACAGGCATCTCAAAGTGCACTTTCTGAATGGTTCTAATATGTACAGTGCAACATGACTGGATGAAGTGGAATGTAGACCAGTCTAACAGTTAACTGTGAGCCTACATATGCTGTAACTTAGTCAGACTTAAGATACTGGTCTAAATTTACATAAAGCTCTTGACTATCTTGTACTAATTTCCTATTAATTCTGGGTATATTGTTTTTCTTTTCTACATGATCATGTCTGACCAAACCACTCAGATCTCTTCACTCCAGCAAAAATGTTAACAGCTGTTTTTTTTTTTTCAGGCCATGAAAACTTTTTTGCTTTGTGTTTTTGGATTTAAATACAAAAGCCAAATATTAACTATTTTTTTTATTCTGACTTCTGAGTGAACTCAGGGTTATTTGAGAGTAGCTCCAACAGGTCACCAGAACTGCCTGCCTTAACGTTCATCTAACATAGTTATTTCAAGTGTGCGCTGTCTTTGAGAGCGAGAGGCACTGATTGGCTCATAATGTGTCAGTCAGAAGACCGGGAGGGACTGATTGGCTCTTTATGTGTCAGTTAGAAGGAGGGGCGAAACTGATTGGCTTTTGATTTCTCGTTAAGAAGATCTTACGTTCTGGCACATCCCTGTTCAATAGACAATCTTTGTGAGCACCGAGACTGGTGTTTTGTTTTCGGAAGCCAGTGGCGACACTTGGAGACTTTAGCTAAAAGAGTTTAGTCCAAACATGACCTGACTATTGTGCTGCAGGCCCGTCCGCCCAGTTCACCTGACCAGGTAACGTGTATCAGTGTCCGGCTTGGTCGGCCCACTATATTTATTGAAACGGACACGGCTGGAGGCAGCTAGCAGTGAGCTAGCTAACACAGCACGATATATTTTAACTAAGTGGAGGATTCTTTTATCTGTTTGACTGTTAAGATTAGATATTTATACGAACTCATAGTTTGGGCGGTTGTGTTGTTTTCATAGATAGAGTTATAAGACATGGTCTGGGAAAATGTCTGTCAAAATGACCAAAATAAAAGCATCATCCAAAGCCGTAGGATGAAAATGCACCACTTGACTGGGAATGACAAGATGGTATTATTATGGCATGGTAGCAGGGTTCAGTAAGGTCATGTTAGGGATTTGTTCTAATGTATTTTTAAGGCCAATGAAATAATTGTATTAAGAAGTCAATCTGAGGAGTAAATGATAAGAAAAGTAATAATTAGTTACAGCTCTAGTCTCATAACTAGAACTTGGTACCAAATAATTTTGGATGGATGGATCCAATTTTGATAATTCATTAATTAATTTTGACTAATAATTTCAGTACATTTTGAAGCAATGAGGTCAACCATTCTGACATTTTAGGTCAAATGAAACAGTGTACAGTGAAATTCTTACCAGTATTCTAATCAGTATTGATTATGCAAATAATCATTACTTACTATGAGTATTTTTTATTTTTGTCATTCCTAACTTTGTTTTTCTGTCTTTTCCTACCAAATTTGGCTTCCACAAATGTGTGCACAGTAATTGCACTGTTACAGAATTAATTGGTTGCATGTTGAACATTTTGAAATGATCAGTCTCATCATGTTCAGTCTTTACTACAGGACTCGTTTTCTCCATGTGTTCTGTTTCCTGTCAGATGCTCACAGATGTCAGTACAAAGTGTTCACTGTATGCTGCTCAAAAATACTGACAAACGAGGTGGTCACCATGAGAAGTCCAACAGCAGCTGATAGGGAAAACAAGAGGGTAGACTGTTGCCCAGCCTTCATGTTACTGAAGGTCCTTGATTAGCATTTCTCGGTGTCAGTGACATCCTCTTTTGGAGAACCCGAACAAGCCTTATCTGTGTAACCAATACTCATTTTAATGAAATGATCAGATGTCCCAGGATAAAGTAGCTGCTCTATTTCCTTCCTATGACATTCATCCCTTTGCGTTTCCCTCTTATGGGGTTACCACTTTGCATCTCTTGAGCAAGTTTCTATGGTTTTTGGCTTGGAGATCTGGAATTGCTGTGAATTATTAACAGGAAAAGTTTATCTGCAGAAGATGAGGGGCTCATTACCTGATAGCCCCTGTCCTTGTTTGCTTAGACAGATGGATGCTTTAGTGCTTTCTGGGAAAGAGAGGGCTTTCTAGGAGTGGAAGTCCTTGTGTTGGCTCCTGCCTCTTCTTTTGAGTCATAGCTCCCTGTTTTTCCTGTTAGTTGCTGTACCTTCTCTTGCACAAATGCACTAGGAGCTCTCACAACTCAGAAGTACTCCAGAGCTGGAGACAACAATGGAAACCTCAGCAGTCACCAGGCTACGCTATGAAGAGCTGCTGTTTGACATAGCCTGTGTTTGTAACTGCTGCTGTATGTGTCTGTGTGCATGCATGTGTCTGGAAAGCAGTGTGTGTAGGAGAGGAGGCGGTGGTGGCGTGCATATGGGCAGCAGCTGGAGGTGGCAGCTCTCCTGGGCCATGCGAGTAGCGATGCGCTGGTGCCGCCTGTGCTGCCCACATCGAGGATGGCGAGGTGGGAGGAACAGCGGGAAGGTGCTGCAGCTGTGGGGCTACAGTAAGCTGCTGCTCAAGTCACTGTATTACAACAGCCTCTGCAACTCGGACACTCTGCTGGACTGTGCCTTCGAGCCCATTTATTGGATTGTGGATAATTTGACCCGCTGGTTTGGGGTAGTAAGTTCTGCTTCTCTTTTCTTAACTGTACACTACCTTTGTCGGCATCTTGTCACTTACTCTCCCCCCTCAGGTGTTTGTCTGTCTGGTCATCCTCCTGACCACATCAGTCGTGGTCATCGTCTACTTGTTTGTCCTACCCACAATCCTCAGCACCTACCCAGTACACTGGTTCATCTGGCACCTCTGCTGCGGCCACTGGCTTCTCGTCATGGTGGTCTTCCATTATTACAAGGCCGCCACCACCTCCCCAGGACACCCACCTAAGGTATCCAGGTCTCCATAGGCTCATATGGTGTTGCAAGGTGTACATCATACTACGAGTGCTGGCAGTTACATCTCAGCTAAGACTGACCTCTGTTTTTCCAGTGAGACAATAATAGAGACTGAATCTTTGCTTTCTGTTAATTTATTTCAGGAAAAAATTCATCTTCCCTCAGTGTCAATCTGTAAGAAATGTATAACTCCAAAGCCACCCAGGACACACCACTGCAGCATCTGTGACATGTAAGTTCATTAGCGAGATCTGTTCATGGGAATCATTTCATCCTGTCAGTTTTTTCATCTATTTTAATTTGATGAACTGTTTTATTACAGATGTGTTTTGAAGATGGACCACCACTGTCGTATCCTTTTTAACACTCCATTAAAAATGCATTGAATAAATTTTATTTGAGTTACAATGCGTGACATCAGTGTGCACTTTGTGATTTATCATTTTGTGCATATTGAACTTAATGTGTCTCCAGCCTGGTTGAACAACTGCGTGGGCCACTTCAACCATCGCTACTTCTTCTCCTTCTGCCTATACATGACCCTTGGCTGCATCTACTGCAGCATCAGCAGCAGGGACTTGTTTCTCGAGGCCTACGGCGCCATAGAGGTTAGGGTGTGGGACTGCCGTGACTGTGAACAAAATGATTTTACCTCTAGTATCTGTAGATGGATTTCTTCAGTATTTTGTTAAGGTTGTGTAGATGCTGATAAAGTTTCTTATCAATTATTTTATGGCCGCTATCAGATGGAGACCAATAAGAAAGAACTCAGGCTCAAATGGCCTGAGTGAAACAGGAGACCTGAGAAGGATATTCACTTTCTGCTCTCATATTCACTTCTGATTCAGGATGGACTCGAGTCAAAAGTGGTTGTTCACCAGATGGTAATCATACTTCTCTAGGCTTGGCATCCAGCATGTTAAACTTGTAATTCACCTATTGGCATTGTTATCCTGAGCCAAAATGACCTCGGAAAGCAGTAAGCTGAAACATCGTCAGGTTGGCTCTGACAGTGAAATAACTCCTTAAGCACTGTTTCCACCAAAGGAATGCTCCCCGGGGAACAGGAACCTTTTGCAGAACTTAGTTTCTATCTTTGAGTTTCCACTAGAGGCACCAGGGACTAGTTAATTAGTTATGCAAGGCCTGCAGTGCTGAATGGAGTTGATCAAATACAGTGCAGCATTTACATGCACATGTTCTTAAAACCCCACTGCCAGTCGCTGCACATTTGATTCATCAGTGGTCTATTTTTTAATCTCCCTTTGGTCCTGCTGTGAATATCCAAATCACTTGAAGGACTTTTACCCCAGGGAAGGTTCTTGGACTTCAGTTCTTGGGAAGAAAAAGTACCAGGAACTTTCCAGTGGAAATGCACCTGTATGCATACTGTATTTGACCCTTCCTCTGTTTTTCAGAGTTACTATCAGACCCCCCCTCCAGCTTATACCTTCAGAGAGACCACTGCTCACAAGAGTATCATCTTCCTCTGGGTACTGACCAGGTGAGCAGGATTTCACCACTCGCGTTCCCATTTAAAAATCCAATAAAAGTTGGTAATGTTAGGTTGTAATGTGTCACCTGTGCAGCTCGGTGGCAGTAGCTCTGGGAGGACTCACCTTGTGGCACGCCATACTGATCAGCAGAGGAGAGACCAGCGTGGAGCGCCACATCAACCGTAAAGAGACCAAAAGACTGAAGGAGAAGGGCAAGGTGCATACACTAATATACACAGTAGGGCCACTCACTGTTGGCACATGTTTATACATGACTGCTTTTACTGGACAGTATACACACAACTGCAAATTTAAATAATGTACAAAATTCAACTTAAAAATGGACTGCACAGGAAGGGTCATACATTTTTCTTCTGTTCGACTTCAGGTATTCAGAAACCCATATCATCATGGCAAAATGAATAACTGGAGGCTGGTGTTAGGCGTGGAGACAAAGAGGTGAGTTCAGTTACAGTATGTAGCAGCTCATCAGATTAAAAGTAGATCATATCTAAAGTCTGATCTTTTTTGATGCACAAGCACCAAAACAGTCACAGTTCCCACTGAAAGTAAGTTAAGTCACACATGAAAGTTCTTTCTTTGTGAAAGACAAATGAGTCCCTGTGTGAGAGCAGATAGAAACCAACCCCTATTCCAAAACCAGGAAAATGTCCATTGTTGTTTTCAATCACAGTTCAGGTTATTTGTTCTGGTTCTCAGCCACTGGTTCACACGGGTCCTCTTACCCTCTAACCACCTTCCCAGAGGGGACGGCATCATGTGGGACTATCGTCAGAAGAGACCCCATGGCCATCTGACTTTCGCTGTCTAACTCAACATGGCTGTTGTGTGGCACAGTGACCAGCTGGGGACAGTACAGGCAGCTCCCACTCCTGCTATTGTGGTATACTATTACAGTTATTTGATGAAAGGAAATAAGCTTCACGGTGTGAATATGTATGGAAATAATAGGTAGTGATTGTTCACAAAACCTCCATCTTGTTAGAATCACATCATCACATCTTTCCTGTCTTTCCACCTGCTGCTAGACAACCTTGCAGGTCTAATTGTAGACTTCTCCCTGTGACTGCAGTGCTGCTGGCCAGCATCGTTAACAAGCCCACAGCAGTTTCCCATCTCTCCACTCATTTGTAAATGCACAACAAAGATTTCTGTGCATATCTTGCACTAAGACTACAGCTTCTTTTGACAGTTGTGTAATATGGATGACAATGCAGTACGGCAGGAAAAAATACTTTATATAGGCTCAATGAGGAGTGAGGACACTGGAGTCTGTGGCCTACAGCACCTTAAAGGTGCTTTATCTTATTTCCAGACATTAATACAAAATCTGACTCGTTGGCTGACACAAAATGACCGATGAACAACAAAACATAGCACATTAAACAACTGACAATGTATTGATCCCTGACAACATATTTAGTCATGGATCTGAGCCTGGACCGCTGCTTATCCCAGAGGTTTTCTACTTCTGTCTGAATGTGCTGATATATGAACTTTGTCTGTGTCTTGGGTTGAGGACAAATCCAAGAGGAGACACATTTAATATTTTTTTCTTTTTTGTTTGATAAATGTCTTGTATTTAAATCATTATTTTCAAAAAAATATTTACTACTGCATGTTTACACCTGCAGTATTTTGCAGCCATGTTTTGGGGAACGTGTGATGATAAGCTTGAGAATCACTTGTCTGGTCTGCACTTGTGTTCTGGTGCCAAAGATGAGTGAAAAACCAAGAGTTTGATGCACTTGTCTTAAATATTTGACTTGAACAAAGCCTACCGAGCGTCTGATAAAGAAATCATTGTGTGCCTTGTTTAAACTGAGGTACTTTAAATAAGTGATGCGGCACTGTGAATTATAGATTTTTAATTCCCTATCATGTTCGTATGCGTAACAATAATGATGGATCTTTAGTTGCCATAGAAACATGATGTACACTATGTCAACTGTAAGCAATGGGAGCTGCGCTCCAGTTTGATTGGTCTTTTTTTTTTTTTAATAAAACACATTTGATATTTCTTGATTGCATAATGTCTCTTATGTGATAAACATGACATTAGAAGCTTTTTGTATCATTACAAAGAGAACTTTTAATGGCAGCTGAAGTTAGACATTAAATATTGTCAGTTTCCTTGGCATAAGTTGATGTGAGGTCCAAAGTGAGCCAGTCTTGATGAGATGACTTGACATGTACTGTGATAGAGTATCAATATTTGTTCAGATATTTAAAGAATACAAGGCAAATGTTGGTCACAGTCACGTAACTTACAATCGTAATTCAGCAGTTAACAAGGTCAACATAGATAATTATGTAAAATTTATCTTAAAATTTAACTCACGTCAGTCGAAGTGTGATAGATGCACAGTAGATGTGCATGAGGACAGTTGGCACATCCACATTTTCCCTGGTCTGAACAACTCCACCCAGCTGGAGCACCACAGTGGCATAAATGAAGCACACCAGCTGCTACAGCTCAGTTACACATTCACTCAGATTTGATGATAAAAGGCTAGCAGTGCCTGCTGGGTCCAGTACTGTGCCCATTTGGTTCAAGGTCCACATCTTTTTAATGTTTCCAGCATGAAATGGTCAGAAAGTCTGAGGAGAGGGAAATGTCGCCACTGCAGCGCAGCGGACCACTCGTCACCTGCAGCACCCGAGCATTGCAGCCATCTCACTACTCAATGGATGTACCGTGTCTGCATTCTCTAGGAGTTGACACATTCAAAGTGCATTCAACAGGAGCCATTTTCAATTTAACACCTTAAACATCTTTCACTTTCTTACTAGATCTAAATAGGTTTGACTTTTTAAAACATTGGAAAAATGTCTTTAAATGATTCTATTAGATAATTGACAGAAAATCAGCTGATAATACCTGTGTTTATCAAGTTGACGTTTTACTGTTTATCAAGTAACCCTACTTTACATGCCATATTATTACCATGTCACATTATCATACATTGATTATATCAGTAGTTTTAGCTGCTAATCTCACGAGTAAGAATTAAAAATTACGTTTTTCAATCAAACAGCCAAAATGTCTTCATACGATCTGATGTGACATTTGCTCCAATAAGTAGAGAGGAAGGCAACAACGTACAAGAGGCATGTTATATGTTGAACTAGGCGTTTTTGCTCTGTGAAGTTAAACTATCAGTCCTTTACTTTTATTTGTGCATTCATGGACAAAAACCTTTCAGTAAAAAGAAGGATGATGGGATTCTGGTTAGAAGGATAAAGGCAGGGTGAAGGAGAGGGTGCTAA